GAATGTCAAGACATCAGGAGCGGGAAGCGTAAATGCAGAGTGTTAGAATTACTGAGCTGGGGGCAGTGCTGCTATGGCAGGCTTGGTGTGGGGAAAACCTGGACTTGTGGAGTCAGTAATGTTTCCTGTGTCTGTACAGATGCTGCTGATGGTCGGCCTGCCAGGTGCTGGGAAGACTTACTGGGCAGAGAACCACATGAAGGCCAACCCTGAGAAGAAGTACAACATCCTGGGCACCAACTACATCATGGACAAGATGAAGGTGAGAAGCTGGGTGGTGTGCACCTTGATGGTGGTTATATTTTCTTACATAGGGGTGTTATCAGTGTGTTTCTCTGTAGGCTTATTTTTTTAGTTCTCTCAATACAGCAGAGTCACAGGAAGTTAAGGGGACAGCTGCAGACTGACATGAAGGCCTGCTGCAAGTTTGGAGGAAGTGACAGTGGAATATCACAGTGGATTGCACAGAATCAGAAACAAAAATAACATGTTTATATCTCTATTTGTAGGTTATGGGTCTGCCCCGTAAGCGGAACTACGCTGGTCGCTGGGACGTTCTGATCCAGACTGCCACCAAGTGTCTGAACAGGATTATTGAGATCGCCTGCCGCAAGAAGCGCAACTTCATCCTGGACCAGGTACGGTAGAGGGGGGTTGGAGTAGGGGGTATCCAAGGTGCTGCCAAGGCTGCCCTGAAACAGCCTCAAAACTGTCCTCAATGCCTCACAGTTAGCTGTACTTACTAAGGTGTTTAGCACATAAAACCTATAGAAGACTTAAGCAGGTTTTAAGTATAGTAATAGGGAGAATACTGCCCTGATTTGTGAAGCAGCGCTTATATAGAGACTATGGAACACCTGGCACTGAACTGCTCAATGATTTAGGTTTTTCGTGTACTCAGTAATACCTGGGTTCTATGTAGACCCAGCGAAGACAACGCCCATGTACCCAGTAATGCCTGGGCTCTGCATAGACCCGGCCAGGACAGCACCCATGTACTCATTAATGCCTGGGTTTTATGTACACCCAGCGTGGACAGCGCCCATGTATTCAATAATGCCCGGGTTTTACATAGACCCATGCTGGACCACACCCATGTTCTCAGTAAAACCTGGGTTTTACATACTCCCAGCCACCTGGAACCACCCACATACGGATGCCGAAGGATTTTGCCGCCGGTTTACATATTGACTTATTGAGCTGCTTGGACAGGAAGCATTGACTCGGATATCTCTGGCCTTACGGAACGGAAGACTCAAGGACTTGCGCAATTCTTAGTGCTCTATGCTGCTGTAAGGCACTAGTACCCGACATGTGTCAGGATGTTCTCAAATGGGTGGGGGTATGGATAGACAAAAACTGACTTGATGTAAGTGTGGCATTGAGGATATACTTGGTTGGTCTCACTGGATTTGTAATGAACCAAGCCAAGGCAGCATCTTGGTTTTGTTCTGGCCATTTCAGTGGCCTTTTCAGTAGAAATGTCATCACCAGAGGCAGTGGCATTGCTTTATATGTGTGCCTTAGGATGTGTAATAATGAAGTAAGATATATATACAGCTTATTCTGAGGTGACTGAAAAGTAGTATTAAGATTGTTGTATACACAGTTGGAGAGAACGAATAGCTTCCCTTGCTTCATACAAGTGTTTGATAAGATGCCAGTTACAAGTATTACAAAGCAGGGTATTAGGTTTAGAAAAGAAAGGTAAGTATGTTAAAGAGTCCCAGGTAAGTATAAGAAACCAGAGCGTCTTGGATCAGCCCCAAGGTAAGATTCAGGTCTTGGAGACTGGCTGGAAGCTTTTATTACAAGCATAAGGTGGGTGAAACGTTCCTTACTTCTCAGTCTCTCCATACAGGATGGAGCAGAGGTGAGTATGGTTTCATCTTTTAACAACAGTCAGACAGTCAGGGACAGTAATGCATAGACTACCTCTAGCACTTAAGCCATAGTCTATAGTCCAATAGAAGTTGGTAAGAAAAGTCCAGGGGACCCATGTAAAGATGTGTCAGGAAGTGTGGAATGAACTAAGAATGTACCTTAGGATTTATTACTTACGAAATAAGACCATGTGTGTACTAGTGGTTTATGTAACCCAAGATAATTAAGATATCACAGTTTGCTTAGACTGGTGGAAAAGGGATGTACAAATGTATACATGTAAGAAGTAAACAGTTACTACTGGACAATCACAAGTTATACATGTCATCGATATGTTTCTGTGTTTTACACCTTGTATACTCAATAATGTTAGTCAAGATGTGAAGAGTTAGATGCTCTACTGTTCTGTATGTATAAGATTAAGGACTCCATGTTAGACACTACAATTATTTGCCTTGTATTGTACCTGCTGCTTAATAGTTTTACATTTGTTATGAGAAAGATACTGACTACTTGTTACCATGTATCAGCATAGACCTCTCAATGAATGTATAACTAGTAGAACTGTAGAAGTGTGCACTGCATTTACTGGAACATCCTGCAGCAATATTGTGAATGAAACTTGTTTGTGAGAAGCCATCTTGTGTGAGGATACAGACCATAGTACTGGATGTTATACATAGGTTGGTCCACTGCATCTGGAGAAGTAACTAAGCTACCTTACAATGGGTCCCTGGACTTGACTTAGCTAGCTAGCGTAGCTTCAAGAGCTGGAAGATTGGTCACAGAAGAGGATGTGCTGGTAAGTAGCCATGCTGTCAGGTGAGTGGGGAGCAGAGTGGCCAGTGCCGCTCAGGGTGGGGTTAGTGAGGGGCAGTAATGTGTTGGTCGAGCCCGTACCGTACTGTTGTGTACCTTCCTGATGATCACTAATGGTCTTGGATGTCATATTCATTGCAGAGCTCCAGAGAACTCTTCTAATGCTGAATAATATTCCTTCTCTTGTCACCATCGCCTAGACTAATGTGTATGCGTCAGCAAGGAGACGAAAAATGACCCCTTTTGAGGGTTTCCAACGCAAAGCTATCGTAGTAGTGCCGACCGATGAGGAATACAAAAAAAGGTGTGAGAAGCGTACGTCAGTTGAGGGCAAGGAGGTTCCAGACGAAGCCGTGTTGGAAATGAAAGGTAGGAAAGGCCGTGTGCCCAAAACATGCCAACTGTTTGTTCCCCGCTCCTTCCATTCATCCATTCACCCAAACCAACCAACCATCCTTCCTCCATCGTGCTTCCCCCACCCTCTTCTCTGTCAGATAGGGTATTGCTAACATGTTTGGTTAAAGCTGTCGTTTCTGTCAGCCAGAGTTAGGACCCCTCCCTGCTGTCTGTCCCCCTGCTTTTCTCCTCTTGGCTGTTTGCTGTGTTGGACAGGGCCTGCTGGCAGCAGCAGTAGCAGCCTGCCCCATGACTCTGCGTGCCAGTGGGCTCTACGGTAGGCTGGTTCTGACTAGTGTCTCGTCTTTCTCTCCCCGCCCCCACAGCCAACTTCACCCTGCCCCATCCTGGGGACCTGTTCGAGACTGTGGAGTACATAGAGTTGCAGGAGACTGAGGCAGAGAAGCTTGTTGACACGTATCGCGAGGAGGGCCGAAAGTACGGGCCTCCGCCCAAACGCTTCCGGGACCAGCGTGGTGGCAGGCCAGGTACTATATATTAGTTTATATTTCTGCATTGAACCTATCCTTTCTGATTTTGTATGCACTGAAACCTTTGCTGAATGGCAACAAACTCATTTTACAGTATGCCACATTTCTTTCCTGTTGATCTTTGGCAAAGAAATGGCCAATGAACCTGATTGTGTGTGATATCCACTTTTGTGATTTTATGTTGCATATCTTTCTAGGTGGGTTTGACCGTTTCCGCCAGAACCAAAGGGGTGGTTATGGCCGTGGAGGCTATGGCGGAGGTGGTGGCTACCGCGGTGGTCGTGACTGGAGAGGCGGCGGCGGTGGTTACCGTGACAACTACCGTAACCAGGGTGGTTACCGTGACAACTACCGAGGTGAGAAGTCTTCCTGACGAGGCATAACCACATAGTGTGTTTCTTCCAGGGGTGCACGTGTTTTAAGGAAGTAGTGGTGTAACGCAACGACAAACGGAGTAGGAAAGTAGACCACGTAACAGTAACGAGTCGGAGTTGGGAAAATCAAGTATGTAACAAAGGTGTTGTCCCATATAATGGAGTGTAGGTAATGCTGGCTCGCCATGGCTAAAGTTTATTGCACCAAAGGGACACTGAATGGTTTCCCTGTTTCGTCCAGGTGATCGGGACAGACAGCGAAGTGACAGAGGTGGTCGCGACTCATGGGGCAGTCGCGACAAAGGCAGATCTTATAACCAAGGCCGATATAACCAGGGTACATCTTCAAATCATCCCTCCGGCCAAAATACAGTTTTGGCCACTCTGTTCGGTGCACAGCCTCAGTTTGTACCACGTTCCCTAACGATTTCACTCATCTGTACCGGCAAACAGTCCAATGCCACTAACTGCAATGCATGTTAGACGCCAAGGCAGTAAACTGTCAAGTGTCCTGTATGTGTACTTACAGTTGTATGGTATGTCACGTGGGAAATAGTATGTATCTATACATATAAATATATCTATATCTATATTTTCTTTTCAGCAAGCATATAAACACGGAGACCCCTTGGTAGATTGACCAAACGCAAATAGTCTCCTCCAGCTTTCTTGCAGGGTTGTCAGTAAATGGAGTTCAGGAAAGGAAAAGCAAAAATAGCTGTTTCCACTTTCCAGCATCTCATCTGCATATTTTCGTATCTAGGTGGTGGCTACGGTGGTGGTTACAACCGGGACCGTGGGTATGGATCAGGTGGCTACAACCGGGATCGTAGCTATGGAAATGGCAACTACAACCAGGGCGGTGGGTACAACCGCTACAACCAGGGCAGCGGAGGTGGTTACAACAGGGTAAGTTTGTCCAGAAGGAGTCTTTATGTTTTGGGGGGGAATTGTGAACCTTGTGCACAGAATCACGTTCGGTGGTGGCTCAAAAACAGATGGTGATAAAAGGATGAATCTAACACTTTCCTTTTGGTGGCCTATCAAAGACTACTTTTTTTATTTCCTACATTGATACTGAAAGGTATTAGACACTTAAATTCTTCCTAGTTGTTGAGCTAGCTAAGTCACTTGGATGGTGGCCACATTTTCCTTTGTGAGAAGTTAAGCAAACAGTAATGTTTACCTAAGCATGCAGCCATGTGACTTGATTCTGCGACCATAAGGTTTGGAAAAAAGCATGTTTCTAAGTATTCTCCTGCTGGTTAACCTCTGCTTGGTTCCTTCCATGCTGAACATGCAGTTTTTGCTTGACTGAAGAACAGATGCCAAGTTTTGTTTTTCTTGGTTTTGACCATGTTGTGTTGCATCTTTCCTTCCCGTTTGTGTAGGGCAGCTCATCGGACGGGTCCTACGGGAGCTACAGCCAGCAAGGCTACGGCTCCCAGGTTGGACACAGTCCTGTTTTTCACCGCCGTCAGGCCTCCGTTCATGCCATCTAATGCATGTCTGGTGTAGTTTGTAAATGCACGAGCTCAGACAAAGGCTTCGTAGCACGGCATCAGCAGCACTGGCTCAGGAGATGCTCGAATCGTGGCATTTCGTTTGGGCAAAACTGTTTCCACATCAATCAATCAATCAATACCAGCTTTTGCTGTGTATTGATCTAGGACAAACCTCCACTCCCAGTGCCTGTTGATGCCTGTGTTGCTGTAGTGAGTTGTAGACGGCTGCCTCTAACAGCACTGTTCACAAGTTGACGGGCAAAAGGTTCACTAATATTAGTTCTAAGACTTCCCCAGGCCAGGGCACCTTGGACCTGCAGAGGCCTCAGCTTAGATGCTGCTGACCAGACAACACCTAGTCACTAGATAAAAACTCACCATGTAGAAAAAAAATTTTTTTACTCCTTTTATTTCCTAAGTAATAGAAGAGTGTAGACAGGAGGCCTGCCCTGGCTCTCGACGTCTTGGTGCAGCCACAGGAATTAATCTGATCAAAGTTAAGACCTTTGGCACGTCTGGTAGATTGGGCTGACACCTGGCACAGACAGGAGCCCCTGGTAGACAGCATAAACCTCACTGCATCTGTCATGATATGCACTGCTAAGACTGCATTTTGTTTCCAGCAGGGGTATGACCAGTCTGGGTACGGGAACTACAACCAGGGAAGCTACAGTGGCTACAACCAGTCTGGCTACAACCAGCAGGGATACGGACAGAACTATAACCAACAGTACCAACAGTACCAGCAGCAGTACCAACAGGTCAGTGGAGTTTCCTTAACTCTTCAACCTTAACCTCAACCCTTCAAACTAGCCTTCTAACTTCACCCTAACACTTCAACCTAAATAACTAGTATTCATTGTTTCTGGATCCCCTGTCCAAAACCTTTCGCGTCCCCAAATTAAAGCAAAGCAATGATTGAATTTAAGCCAAGGTGATTGATTCCCCATGTGAGGAAAGCAGTCTGCAGTCTGTACTTTTACATTCATACCTCAGCCAACTCGTATTACAATTCTTTCTTGTCCTTTTGCTGCTCTAAAGTTATTGAAAAGCATCAGTAACAATGGTATTGTCATGTTTGAGTGACCGATACTTTTTTGCTTATGTTTTTGATCTGTAACAACTGTAGTGTGTCGTGTTGGAGTGACCTCTATTTTTCCCTCAGTATCAGCAGCAATACCAGCAGTACTACGGCAACCAGAACCAGCAGAGCCAGCAGCAGCAGTACCCCAACTACTACAACTACAACTACAACCAGAGCTCTGGTGGCAGCAGCTCTTCCCGCTAAACCCAACACCCAGCCAACCCCAGGCGCACAGGTGTGGGCCCTGTAGTGCATTCCATCCACCCATCTACGGTGATGTTTGTGAGCCTCTCAAGGGGCGACTGATGTAATTATGTAGACTCTAGTTCATGTATCTTCCATACTCGTCGATCTGTAAGAAATTTTGGCTGAGAAAAACGTCTTGCCACTATGCTTAGAGATTGAAACTGGTGTTTGATGAAATCCCTGTTGTAAATAGAAAACAAGCTTGCTTCTCAGTTTGAACAGAATTAAAACCATGGCATCTTGCTGAAATTGTTTCTAAGATAAGTAAAAAGTGTTCATGTTTTGCACGTGTCCTAATCGTCTCCAGCACAGATTGAGAAAATCAACTTGTAGGAACTTGTATCTCATGAAGTGTGTATCCATGATCACTTGCGCAGTTTATGTTCTCAGACAGTGTAGTAGATTTTGCACCTGATCGCAGCTACGTGGAAATCTTTTAGTAGTTTTCTTGAGCTTTAGTTATTCCTTTTTAAGAGATTTTAAAGATAAGACCTGGCAAACCGATGATGTACCGAAGAGAAAGTAATTCTGTAATCAGTGAGTAGCAACACTGAGGAGAAATTGTAAGGATAAAGCTGTTGTCAACTGTTGATTTACCAGTACCAATAAACTGGTGGTTTGCCATCACAACTGTCACATTCTGTTTGTCTTTGGATTACATGGCCTCAGTTATTTGGAGCATGATGGGTATGGTGACATAAGGCCAGAGTTCAGAGCTGACACCTTTGTATTAGAAGATAGGGGAGTGGATGGAGGGTCTTCACCTGCAAAGTTTGGGCAGATCAGTCTTTACTGATCTCATGCCACAATAAAGTAAGCAGAGAGTTGAGCGAGGATGTGCTATCACCAGTATTTGATGATGGCTGCGCTGTGCATATGTAGTCTCTTTGCCATAGAGGGTCCAATTGATTGCCTTTCTGCTTCGTAAATTTATTGTTATATAGAGTAGAAAAATAAGATATACACATAGGTATATTATAGGTATAGATGCTTGGAAGCAAACAAAAATACGCCAACGTGAGATAGAATTATTTAATAATAAATAATTACAAATCTATTAACTTTTTTTTTTACAAAATACATTTTGTACATACCAGACTTTTAACTCTAATTCACTCTAACAAGCAGAAGACAAGTTGAAACATTAAGAAAAATTGTCAGGAGCATGAAATAGCTGGATTTTATCCAGGTCCATACAGAAATCCAGAATGCCAAGTGTATTCACTACTCTGGAGTTGCAGAGCACATTGTTCTGCCTCCCAGGATTACACATGGCAGGGAGAAAGCAGCCAGAGTCCTTCCCAATCTACCCTGAGTGATTTACTGGACATGTGAGAGTCCAACCACTGTGGGAACCAGTGGCCTGCCTTTTGGTCTAGTGTATAGAGTTGCCCTACTGCTGAACAACGTTCTATCACCATGGCAACCATTGGTACTAGGACTCCCCAGTGTTCTTGTGTGCACTCTATCACCATGGCGAGCTGTGTGCTGTACAGAGGGTGAACAGTCCTGTGCTGTTTGGTTCTGTACAGAGTATGAACAGTCCTGTGCTGTGTGGTTCTGTACAGAGCATGAACAGTCCTGTGCTGTGTGGTTCTGTACAGTCCTGCTAGCTGTGCTGTGTGGTTCTGTACAAAGGTTGATCAGCCCTGTGCTGTTCTGTAAAATTCCCAAGTCGGATTGTGCTGCAGGCTCCTGGCTACAAGTGTCGTCAGCTCAGCATGCGGATGGTTGCTCCCAGCGCCCAACTCGCCTCCACACCATCAATCTTTTTCCTCAGCTATGGGACAAAAAATAAAATGATCCACTTGTGATTTATGTAAGAAACTAGAAAGGTAACATTTGCAAAGCAAATGCATGCCTTCACATAAGTCTGCTCTGTTAATTCTTACTCAAACACATTCATATATATGGCCATGTTGATTTGATTATATGGATGACATCCTCCGGGAGCCCCAAAACTGATGCGCGCGTGCGAATAAAAAAAAGTTTTGCAAAAAAAAAAAAGTTCTTTTCATTATGAAATCTATGTGGTCATGAGGGTTGAGCAAATGGCACAGAATATGGTTTGGCGAATAATCTAGTCTTCAAGTTCATTTCTTTACAATTTCGTCTTTTTTCGTTTGATTTTGGCATTCTACGACATTGGTATAGTTTTTATTAATTTTTTTGGTAACTTATGGTATATTTTTGCTCTTTTTGCAACTGTTTTGTACGATTTACAGTATGGTTGAAAACTTTTTTTTTTTTGAAACGGCCGAAAATTCATGCGCGCGCGGATGTCATCCATATAATCAAATCAACATGGCCTATGGTGAGACAGGAGTCTAAATCCCTCCTGCTGTGAAATTGCAACATGATGTAACCCAACACCAGTTACCATGGCCACAGCCGTCTAGTTCAGGTCTACTAAGCAAAAACAACATGTTTTCCTTTAGTAAACAATTACATAAAACTTCTAATCGAATCGGGTGTGTGGAAGAAGAAACAGCTGATACGGTACTATGTCACCCTTCATTGGGGAAACATGCATGAAAAAAAGTGACGGCTCACCATAAGTACGTTGTTTGGCTTGAAGCCGTAGCCCTCCTGTAGAAGTGCGCTGATGTAGCACAGGTCCATACACATGAAAGGGTACTCTGGCAGTGGCCTCCTGCACACTGGGGAAGGGGGGCACAACACAGTTATACACGGTGTTAAGGTAAAGGTCATACTGTCAAAACTCGACTTCATCATACTGTATGTTGCTATACAGAATGAAAGGTCAACCAAATCCTAAGGATTACATGCACAAACTTCAAGGTCACAAATAAAGTTTCTGGACTTGGAAGCAATCTTTCAGCTTCTACGTTCCATACCTCTCAACTTCCAGTTTTCCTTGCTTTGCAGAGCTGTATGATGGAGTATTGACTTGACCAGAAATGATGTGACATACCTTCTTCTGCTCTCTGCTTGAACTCAGAAACCTTCAAACTTCCACCTTCCTCACCTGAAAACAATGCCATAATTCATTTCGTAATTAATTTTTCTTCAAAGTTGTGACTTGAACCAAATAGCCTAGGCTGTCTAAAAAAAATCAGATCCTATTGCAAAGTTCTTGCACTAGTTGTGACATGTCACAGACACTGAATACTGAACTACAGTCAAACTTGGTCTCAACAAGCATTCAAGGGGCTGAGGTAAAATGGGACTGGGGGGTTGCTCCAGACAAGGGGGTCATAAACTAACTGTAACTTGAATGGGACTGTTTCAATGAATCATATGACTGTAGGCCATTGGCTACCAGGTGATTAACCAGCCGGTTTGACTGTAAATCAAAACATCTCTTACCTATCATGCCAGACTCTTTTGCTCTGTCAAAGTAGTAGGAACATGCATAGAAAGGCTCTTGTCTGACTTCCTCTGGAAAGCAAGAAAAGGACACGAGTTGTTATTCCTATACATGCCAGTTTTCTCCTGACATCTAAATTCACTTCACACTATGTCACCATATTTAACATGTACGACATGGGATGCCCTCATCTTCTGTGTGGCACACAGCATACATCCTGTACACATAGACAAGATTAAAGACAGACTGCTGGCATGCTATATTATATCAGACAGATGACAAAAGTTAGCTGGAGACAAGTTTATGAATGCATAAAGACTAAGATAAAGGGAATCGTTTCACTGTGATTTTTTGCTACACCCCAAATGTATTGGTAGTTTGTCAAAGGTTGGTTTAATGCACTTGAGTACTTGGAAATCATTGAAAACATACACTTTTGAGTCATCTAATGCTAGCAGCAAATATACCATGTACATGTACATATAAGGAAGCTTTCATATTGTTACTTTGAGATTCACATTAAAGTAGATATCAATACAGGGATGTCATCCATTATATTATGTTTATGGGGACTAAGGTAAGTCTACACGACTATCATTTTCATATCATACATGTACCAATATACATGAAGGAGGGCCGGATTTGGATCATTCAATGGTTACATAGTAACTAGCACTGTTGGGAAATGTTGAAAGAAGAGTCATGAAGAGAGTGTATACTTTTGTCCCTAGTGGAGGAACTTAAAGTGTAAGAAGCATAGATAAGAGTCAAAGATGTACCTTGAGCATACAAACAAGATTTCTGAGCTGGTTGTTTGGATTGGCAAACATTGTGCGAATCAGGCTCTATCTGACCACAAGAGGCTGAGCTCAGGACTGCGGACAAGTCAAGAAACAAACACAACAAACAGAATTTTTTTCACTCCAGGGAATAAGACAGTTGTTGGGATAAATAAGAGGAAAAAAAGTTATAGGTGAAGGAAACACAGCAGGAGAGAAGGAAGAACAACAGGCAGCCGCTGCCTAACTTTAACAGAGCTACAGAACTGTGTTTAAGCGTAAAACATAACTTTATGACAGACCCGGTATGTGGACAGATAAAACAATACATGTCTGCAGACTATAAAACTATCCAACACAAGTATATACATGTACCTGTAAACCACCCAGTATAACACATGCAAATCACACAAACCTGAGCTATTGTTACATGTTTCACCACCTGTAAAAGCAGCTGATGAAACCCTGATCTACACACCTGGCTGGTGGACCTGCCTGCTGACCATTGCTAGTGCAGCTGTCCAACATGACCCAACCCTGCCTCCCCTGGGGGCAGCCCTGAGACATCGTACTCCACGCCCGAGTGCTCAAAGGCCCCCTGGAAGCCGATAGGCAGACAGGCACTTGTCAGGCTCCCCTTGACAGGGTTTCTGTTGATGTCCTCAGTCTCCATTCCCATCATCCTTAGCCTGGCTGCCATTAGACCAAACCCAAGATAGCTGGAAACAAAGAGAGATGGTTTCTTTCTAAATGTCAAGTTATCTTGGAACAGTTCTTTGATTTCTTGGATCCACAACAAGCTTGACACTTCAGCTATACTTCCTGTGGATGGGACAGGATGACTACAATATATACATCTGTAACATACATAGCATACATAATACAGAAATACAAGAAATCAGATGAAAATTCACAGTCACATTCATGAGAATTGACTGATGCTTGCCTGGTTATGTGTTTCCGTACTTACCTATGTACATACAACATATACGTCTTGTGAAATATATCAACAGGCCTCACAAAGCCCTCAGGGGATGACCTTAACGTTTCCTGTAATACAACACGGTAAGTCAAACTCAAGACATTCTCAAAAAGCATATATTCGACAAAAGCATATATCTGACAATCGGACAAAGTAGCCATGAAAAAAATAAAAGTAAACAGTTCTTGACATCAGGATAAAGTAGCCGTTTCAAAAGAAAAAGAAAAAACAGTTGCTGACTTACGCTATCCCTTGGAGAAAATGTGATTTGTGTGGATCCCCCGCCCAGATCTAATGCTCCTTGGGTGGAGTCATTTTCTGAAGATCTGAGGGCACCTGAAACATGAAAGGGAGTATTATTTCAATATAGACCTTCTTATATTACAGTCATTTAAGAAAAAAACACTTTGAAAAATAAATATTCCCAAATTCCATGGCTTTTCTGCAAAAATTTTAACATAAAAACAATGCTTACTAGATCAACAACCTTACATCTAATAATAATACACAGCGTTGCCAAGGTTCTTACCTATTAAAAAGTTGATGGTAAACCACGCAAACAGACCTAGAGGGGTGTGTGAGGAATGATAGATATTTTTCAGCAAGAATTGATGTATTTAGAAAGAATGTCAACATCATTTCTATGATGATTCTTTATATGTATAAGAATGATCTGTTAAGAAATAAACAAAACCACGAGGCACTAGGTACTGCTACTCACCTTCATCTAACCCATTCATGATGACAACACTGTCCTTTCTCACCAGGAAGGGGGATGCCTCAAACACTTTCTGTACCTGTCAATCATCAATCAATGGATTGATAAACCAACCAACCAACAGGAACTCTAACATACATATTGATACTATACTGCTGGAGTCCAATTTATAGCTTGATAAAAAGTGTTGTTACTGTTATACCAAAAGGTGGCTATACCAGCTTAACAGATATAGAACCATACAGACTTTTGTGTTATGACAAGGAAAACTTTGACATGTTGAATACTATGACCAGACCTTATCGAGCAGTGTCTGAGCCTTGTCCTCAGGTAACATGCGGAGTCCAGCGGTGGCCTTCAGGGCTATAGGAGTGTTCCTCTGCACGGCTGCAGGCACAACTTCCTCAGCAATCTGCACCAGACCCTGCACACTGGCAGCACCCTGAGGAAGGGAAGGGTGGGGGATCTAATGACAACACTGGCAGAGCATAAACCTAGTCTCCAATATGTCTTCCTAAGGTGTCATGGATAATAGAATATGACAAAAATAGGGTCAACAATTGGCCAGGACAGTCAGCCTGTGGTAATGGTAACATTTAGACAGGCCAATGAAACTCTTTGGTAGTCAAACTCTTTACATAGATTAAAAGGGAATGCTCTAATAATATAAGCTGGAGAAATACATTTAAATACCATTTAAAACACAGGTTCATTACATCAGGCTTGTAGTTTTTCCTACTGTAACATATCACACTAAAAACACAATCAGCAACATTATCTTCTGCTGAGAGCAAACATTTTCAGATGCTTTATTGTGAGCCCACAAAATAAACCATCATCATCTTTTCACCTAAAAGAATAACCTGGAACCATTTGTGTTTACAGTAAACATCAATGACCTGATTATCATAATAGTCTGTAAACTGATAACTAACACCTCTCTTGTCACTCCCGAGTCTATCCCTAGTGATACAATATCCTGTCATTCTACTATTACATCTGCATGTGTTTACTACGGAGCATCTGCACGGGAAACCCTCCTGTTGCCAAGGAAAACTAGACATACCTCCTCGGGGTTGTCGGCATACGAGGAAAGTCCTGGCTTGATGGACTCAAACTTCTCCGTCACCAGTCTGATGTCAACTGGAACATACAGGACAATCTGAAGGTGTGTGTTTGTGTGAGGGACTTATTGTTTGTGGAAATGGCAACCTTGTTAAGTTTCAAATAATGCTATTAATATGATAGTATGTGATGTACTGGCTAAATAGTTCAAAATAGTCTAAATAGTCTAACGTTAGTCACTTTGAATACAAAACTCGAAAGACACCAGTTCATCTATGTGTACATGTGAAATCGTGCGCATAACAGGAACAAAACACACAACCTATGGCCATAACAGTCTGCAGACAGAGTCAAGTCGGGTGAACATCTTACCTTCACTGTTCTTTGGAACTTGAAGACGTGCAGGCGACTTCCTGTGCTTCCAGCATCAATCATGACTCCATACAAAACCTTACTCCTCCCTGGTCGCTGCTGCTCCTGCCGCCACACCTGGAAGTACCGGTAGTCATAGGCTGTCCAACGTTTGTAACAAAGCTATACTTCCAAGTCATATCAATATTGCTAGAATACATTTATCATATTATATGCACAATGGGCACGTTGGCAGAACCTACTGCGTCTGCGCAAAACTCTGATTTTTCGCGGTTTTCGTTGGATTTTTGGTCAACGTTGCATTAGAATTTTGCCTGTTGCAGAGGACATCTTTTCCAACATAACATTTGGAAACTACAGACGGGATGGTAACTTTATATACGCAAGAACGATCTTATATGAGACGTTCTGCCGAAGTGCTATGCATAATACATTACATGGTTTCGCGCAGGTGCAGTACGTTCTGCCGACGTGCTTGCACAATGTAAAATCATGCACAATCATCCAACCACCAACTTGACCAACCCATACACACACCTATACATGCACCAAACCTACCTACCGGTATAAACCTACCCACCCACCAAACCATCCATTCACCCACCTCCTGGATGAGCCCTTCGCCATGATCCATCCCCGCGTCATGTTGTAACGTCAGGCGTCCAAAATTAACCAGCAGGAACAGCACAAACAGCACAGCTATTGAGACAGCCATGAAGAGTCCTGACCTAAGCTGAATCAGCGACATGACAGCTTGACGTAAGGTCACACAGAATTGGGAGCACAGTCCATGGTGCAGCAGTCCTCATGCTACAGTCTGGAACATAACATACTCCTTGTTATTGTTTCATTTGTCCAGAACAATGCCCAATAAGGTATACGTAATCCATACCCTAGTGCGCTAGAGTCATACAGAGGTGGAAATGGGGTTTGGGAGGAAACAAAGAGAAGAACATTAAAATAATTTTAGAATGGGAGAAATCGACATCAAGCTATACCAAAAGGCTTCGCTTGAATGACTTACAAGTATAAAATAAAGCATTGAACAGTGTACAAAAGAATAAACACCTGGCATGACATCAGGCCATCTATAATCTCTCCAGACATATGGAAACACACATGTTTCTTCCAATAGAGTAGACTTATACAAAAACATGATGCAGCTTATTGACTCTCTGTAATAGTGTATCAGTCTGAGGCTAACTTGGGTTACAGCATTATACACATCTACCAAAACATTTCACAAATTCACCAGGCAACATAGGATGATACATCTACACCTGTTGCCTGTTAGGTAAGTGCTTAGATACATGCATGTGGAGAAAAGTCATGCAATATTTAACTCTTAAGTGTTCAAACATTATTGATGACATTAGATGAGAGCGACCTGATATCCATTATTGATCTATTTATGCTGAATGGAAGTTAAAAGAGTTTCATGCATTATTTAAATGGCTGGACGGGTCATAAACATATGAAACTGGACACTCACAAAAGATGTAGCAAACTGGCACAAACACTTATTAATTGTCAAACCACATGACATCTTCAGCTTGGCAAACCTCAGAGTTAGACTTTGCTCAAATCTTGTGCTTGTTCAGTCATAGCTAGGATCTCAGCAAACATACAACAGGTCCCTCTGGGCTTGAGCCTACAGATCTATCATTTGTCCCTCTATATTCCCCTGGTGGATGTCCCTTCCCGTAACCCAGGCAACACTGAGGTAATCTGAACAGTAACAAAACATCAGGCATAACTGATAGACAGTAGGTTAGGATGCTGTCGCTTTCTCTACGTTTGTTTTTTGTAGAGAGAGAGAGAGAGACAGACAGATTTCAAGCAGATCAATTTGAGACACATTTTCTGCCTCTCGGAGTCCAACGTTGGAGTATCACAGACTGTGTTGAGAGCTGTTGTTGAAGGTGATTGTATGGACATGGTGAAACCAGCACGTGTGTCTGTCTCCTCCAGCTTCTCCAGCATGAGTGGTACCAGCAGGGGGTCCACATCTGATGGCAGCAGCTACGCGTCCTCCCGAACCTCAGGACAGCGGTGCATCTCACAGGGCGGACCCCAGTACAGCACGCATGGGCCCTCATCCGCAGGGGTCGGGTAAGTGCAGCTGCTTTTGAATGCGATTTCAAACTGCAAATTGTACTTGAAGTTATCATGTGTCCATGTAGGTGTGGTAAAGGGGTATATTAAATAAAATGACATACGTGCATATTACATTCAGATTTTTCAGAGTGACAGATAGGTGGTCTTATTATCATATAGGCAAGGATTTTTGAACCTCTGTGTTGTACCGTAGCTATAACATTAAAACTTGTCACATTTCCTATTGAGTATTGTCTAGTGGTTAGTGCACTGCTGGGGTTGTATACTGAGGTAATAGTAACTTAATTAGGAAAGCCATAAAACAGGACTGAATCAGCAACAAGAGGCTAAAAGAGGTGCATGTAAATAGCACAAGGTCAGTGACCTTCAAAATAAGGTCAGATTTGATGACAAGTTTATGGCTGACCTGCTCTTATCCCCATTGTCCAGCATGAGAATATCTCTTCCTTTTTTCATCATGGCAGAAGAACACAAATATTCAATGTGTTTAAAGTTTAAAGGCTGTCTTTAAACCATTGATATCACATCAATGCTACAGAGCATGAAAGGTATTTGAATTTGTAATGATAACACCATTCTGGTTCTAACAATTGTTGCCATGCATGGTAGTAGAAAGTACAACACATTATTTAACAATGTAAAATATCATTCATAAGAAGAATGTACAAATTAATGACTCCCACTGACCTGTTGCTAAAGGTGCAATCCAGTGTAGAAAATCTTTAAACCAACAAGGAGCAATAGAAAACAAGGAATACTTCAAATATTCTTCAGGAAAGGTCTGTTGTATTTCATACACTGATGTTTTGTACGGAGCAAAACCCAAAGCTGGTTACAGAGTAGTCAGGAAATGAACCCTGCAGTCAGCGAGAACCATCACACGTCAACACTGATTACAGACATGACAGGTGCCGAGCTGCCAAATATAGCCTGGTGGTGAGGGTAGGCCCTGGGACCAGGAGCCAATCACACCATGACAAGTGTCAAACCTTCCTGCTTCCCCCACATGGATATAATGCTTATTGAAACTGAAAACATACATCTCCACTGGAGTACAAAACACCTGCAATGATGTCAAAACCTCTGTCATATGAAGAAAGACACCTACTACTAGTAGTACCTACTTAGTCCTTCAATTTGAGGCTGAGAAAGAAAAACAACAGTCACTGCCTGGTCACTACCTGTCCATGTGATGGAGGCGTGTTCTGTCACTTACACTACAGTAAACACTTTACTGTGGGACAAAGTCCTGCAAGCCTGATGCACAGTACAACTGTGACCTTTAATACATCCATCTTTCTGACCCAAGGGTGTAAAGAGCCAGCATTTTTTACTGCTTTCTGACATTGGCTTTCTGCCAGTTACTCATGTACTGATACAGATCTGCAGCCACTAACAGTTTGGTTTGTTTTTGTACAAATTTATTTGCTTTGCTATGATCAAGTGTTTGTTGTGAGAAGAATGTCACAGTTCACTGAGAGACTAAAAAATCAATACTTTAAATGTATTGATTTTTTGGTCTCTCAGTGAACTGTGACATATTGTAACCACAAGCAAGCCAGCATGTGCATGGGGACTGTTCCACATATGTTCACATATGTCAGTCAGGTACAGAAAACTGAATGACAACACAACAATACATGTTTCTTCTCACCATTGTTGAGCCATGACGTCCGTGGAATGTTCGTGCTAAATTAAAGTATGAAGGATGACTGCATCCTTGATGACATAATAGTGACTGTAACCTTCACCTTTTACATTTGGTGCACACTGGCCACACAGTTCATGCTACATGCATGATCGATACAACAATCAGTACTATAAGGTGCCGCTGCATGGATAATACTAGTACTAGTAGTAGGGGGTTATTGGGATCATCGCTTAGCTTATAATCACAGTAGACCTGATGGTATAGTATTATTAGTAGCTTGGGGAATGTTCAGAAGATGACTCAGCCAGCCCACAGATGGGAATAGGGTGATTAACATTGATGCACACTGTGGCTCCTAGTTCTAACTATCTACAGCTAGCTGGGGGAATCATTTACAGTCCAAACTGTCCCCAAGATGATCATGCAGGGGACTGATAAAATCTAGTCTATGTTGACAGGTGGTCACTATACTAGTCTGTAGACAGGGCTCTTTTTTACAAATTATGATTGCCCCGGTCATTACTTATACTGTCCTAATCCTATTAGTAGAGAACGAAACTTATAGATAATAGGTCATGCTTTCATGTTGCAGAAAATCCTCATTGTCAAAAAACTTGACAATCAAAAATCCTGCACAAAAAAGACACCTAGAGAATTTTCATTTGAAATTTTCAATTCTGTCAAGTCAAATTTGTTTGTCAAGGAGGTCTCTCCCTAACCAGGGATACTCTAAACCACTGTACTCTAAGCCACAACATACATGACAACACTATGTCACAACATACATGACAAAACTATATCACAACATAACGTTACATAACAAAACTATACTCTTGATTTTAATAATTTCTAGAACCTCCTATTTTACTTACCGGGCCGTGGAGATAACATTATATTGTCCTGTCATTCCCATCTACTAGAACATCTTGAGATTATGAGTAGATGAGTATAAGAGTCAATTCAGAAGCAGGAAAGCTCGAAATAACGGGAACTTCATGTTGTCATCGATTACCCGCTCTCTGATGCAAGATGATCCGCCGGAACAGGACATAATCTTTAAACCGGAAGTAACTTTTCATCGCTTATCGAGTTACTACCGGATACAGCGGGTCTCGCGAGACTTCGCGAGTGTTGACACAGTTGCCTAGTAACCCCGCCATCTTGTTTAGAAAAGTTAGTTTGTTGGACAATGGAGCCGACTGGCTGATCAATCTTTTCAGACAGAATTTGGTCGCCGAAAAAGGGACCAAAATGCCGAAGAAAGGCAAGAAGGGAGGAAAGGGGAAGAAGGGAAAGAAGGGGTAAGTTATATAGATCAATTCTACCGAAGAATGTAAGCTTTCAATCTCCGAAATCTTTGAAAAATCAAAGGCATCGGTTCGGCCCGATCCGAATGACTTAAATTATTTCATGCTTGACGATATTATTATTGAACCCATGGTATCGATTTTGTGATACGCTGTGGTCTTGGGACGTCATAACCGATTTTATACCGTTCCATTTAGACTAGATTTAACCACGGACAACTACCCAAGGCTTTGTCAGAGGTTTAAAGCTCATGGAGCAACCTTCAGGCGGTGGTAAAACATTTCTACGGAAAAACGTTGGAGCTGAGTTTAGGTTTAGGAAAAGTAGGATGGTGACAGCACCATGTATTTCATGTCTTTTAAACACAGAAGGACACGAAGAGCACCTGATGAACCATCAATAACGTCATTTGCATTACCGTACCATGGGTGCTTTATACAACTTAGCCGTGGCGACTATTGATTCGGGCTTACATTGCATTACCCTCAGCAATAGTCGTGGAAAGATCCATTGGCAGAACTGCACATTTCCCGTTGGCTGCTCGATGCTCCGTTTTTGACCCGGTTTTTTGCTGTCCCGAGCTTCCCTACAATATAACTCCACAATTGGCCGGGTTGCCGATGTTTAGATCAGCCTAAATATTCCACAGCGCGACAGAAAAGTAGTAAAATAGCTAGTCGGCACAAGCTGGCGCCATCTTGGATATAGTCGGGAATGTCCGCTACCGCCGTCGGGAACGCTCGGTAGCCTTTCCGGTTATAATCGGAGAGCTTTCGGTCGGGCTTCGGTAATCGTGACGCTACCGAGCGTTCCCGACGGCGGTAGCGGACATTCCCGACTATATCCAAGATGGCGCCAGCTTGTGCCGACTAGCTATTTTACTACTTTTCTGTCGCGCTGTGGAATATTTAGGCTGATCTAAACATCGGCAACCCGGCCAATTGTGGAGTTATATTGTAGGGAAGCGTCGGGACAGACAAAAACCGGGTCAAAAACGGAGCATCGAGCAGCCAACGGGAAATGTGCAGTTCTGCCAATGGATCTTTCCACGACTATTGCTGAGGGTAATGCAATGTAAGCCCGAATCAATAGTCGCCACGGCTATATACAACTGTACTCCAACTACAACTGTAGGGGAGTTATCAAGTACTTCACCAGAACATGTGGTAGAATTTGGTGGTTACTTAGTATTTGCACTGCTAGAACTGAGGTGGTAGAAATATTTCTACTACATTTTGTGCTTTCACATCAGAGAAACAGTGCATCATCTAGCCGTGGCGATTCATGGAGGATATCTTGCCTTCCCTTGCACTGTTGTGCACAACTTGGTTATAATCAAATATGGGTATAAATATAATAATTTAGTTATATTTATACTGGTTGACTTCAATTTAACCTTCTTGGTCATCACCTTATCTTGGTGTAGAGATTGTTAGATATTTCAATTAAATTGTATAATGTGATATAACAACAAGAAAGAGCCTTCAAAGGAGCAAAAATCAGCAAATTAATTGCTGTAGTCCAAGATAGACAATATGAAAGTAAAGCTGACTTTAACTTCCCTTTCAGGAAGGGGAAGGGAAAGAAGGGGAAGAAGGGAGAAAAGGTCTCCAAGGAGAAGAAGGAGGACATCGTGGCCCAGGCCATGGCCAGCGCCAAGATCTGGGAGATGAGACTTGAGGCCACTGAGAAATCAAGACAGGACTTCAGGTGTGTCTTAAGTAGCCTGAAATTCAGGATTGTTTTGCTTATCATCTTCTGTCTCACCTTGATAGTGGTATTTTGATATTGCTGTTTATACTGCTTACTCATCATTTTTTGCTTGCTATGTATGTTTCTGTTTCAATGGCCATAGCTGGAACCAACATGGTTGGTAACGAACCATAAAACAGCACATATGGTAGTCACCAAAAACTGCAATACCAAAATGCCATCAATGTTTTCCTTATAAAGGAGAGTGATAGGGAAGTAGTGAAATTAAACAAAAATATTTATGTTTGAATACTTAGTTTGATTTTTGCATAATGAAGAGTTGAAAGATCAACATGTGAAAACTCTGTACCTGACAATTTTGCAGAGAGAATGCCAAATTCCTGCTCCTGGAGAATGACCGACTCCAGACGAGTATGGAGCAGACGGAGAAGGACACCATTGATGTCATCTCATTCTTAAGGAAGGAGGACCAAACCAAGGATGAACAGGTCAGCAGTCTTTCCTTGCTCATTCTCTCTTCTTTAGTCACTTAGCAGTACTTAACCTTCTTAGCCCATATAACTATACCAAATGAATTTTTAAAGAAAGTTACAGTGCTTAGGTTATTATTATTTGATGTATGTTCATGTACATGTAACCAAGTTTTTTCTGTCTACAGATTACCAAGCTGCAGCACCAGGTGAAGGAGATGAAGAGAGAAGGAAGGAAAGAAAAGGAACAGCTGGTACGACAGTAACACATGAGTACAAACTTGACTGATGACAAGATTACAGTAACACACCAGTACCAACTAATCAAAGCAGCCAGTAATAAGATATGTCACAAGTCTGAGTACAAGAAATCTACATTCCATACATTCCATATTGTACAGAGAATTTGAAGAACATATCTCAAACGTTTCAAGTTGTGATCAAACATGCAGCTTGCCATCTGCTGAAACCATTGACTCAAAAATGATGTCATTTCTGTGAAGATGTTTGAAGTGAGTGGGTCAAAATTCCTAAAGAGAAGCACATGACATATCAAAAATTTTGATATGCATACTTTCATTGTGTTCAAAAGAGGTTAAAACTTAATAATGTTACCTAAAAAAAGATATTGAGCAATGTAATGCTGAAACTTAAAAGCATGTGTGTTTTTTTTACTGACTACAGATTGAGGAGTTCAGTGCACAGATTAATGGCCTGGAGGAGAGGTTAGGGGAGAAGGACAGCGAGGTCAAACTCATGCAGAGTGAGCTGAAACTCGTCAAAGAGTTCCGCCGAAAACGGGCACAGATGCAGAAGGACCTGGATGAGGTATGGGCTTCAATCAACCAATCAATCTCTTGTTGCCCAGGCCATCAATAAATTGAGGCTTTTGTAAGAGAGAATCCCTCTAAAAGCTTGTTCCTTCTATTGTAATGCTGTTTTATGTCTAAATATGTGCTATAGCTCACTGTGTGACACTCAAGACTTTCTCTCTATTCCAGATCAAAGACCAACTCTTCATGGCCAACAAGGAACACAAACACAACCTGTCCAAAATGGAGCACAAGTTCTTTGAAGAAAAGGTGAGAACAAATACACCATACTCACTTCATGTCATTTGTTGGAAGGCTTGAGGATGTCTGTATGTTGACTGGGTTCATCTTGTAAACTCTTGTAATCTGTTCACAGATAAAGTTACAGCAAGAGGCGAGTCAGAAGATTGCTGAGCTGGCAGAAAGAGCACATACAGAGGCTATTGAGTAAGTCTTCATATCAACATCTTTGTAGCAACTCATAAAACAAATTGAAGTACATGTATACATGTAGTGAATTTAATAAGTCATGGTCTTTTGAGAACTGTCAAGAAACTGGATGACATCTACTTTAAGAGTACAGTAATAAGTAATAACCATGAGCACACAAGTTTTAGCATGTGGTGATGATGATTATTAACACCTGACAGGAAACTTGATGAGACAACACGCTCAGTGTACAAGGAGAATGTGCGCCTGAACGAGGCCCTAAGCTACCACATGAAGGAGGCGTCAGAACTGAGGAAGGAACGGGACCGACTTGAGGAGGAGAACAAGGCGCTGGCTGGGGAGAAGGTGGGCCTTTATTTGTTAAATTTGTATTGAATTAACCTCAACTGTGATGCTCCAGACATTACAAGTGAGAGTACAATTTGCTGAATTACATCACAAACAGAGCTTTGATTTGTTTCTTGTTTAAATGACTGTAACATTTATCAATTTCTTCTCCTGTCTACAGGAACTGAATGACCTTGTAGTAAACGAGAAGGTTGTGCAGCACAGAGAACAGAAGGTGCAACTCAAAGAGGTGAGACATCACACGTTAAAACTAAACTTTTGGTAGACTTCTTGTCCTTCTACAGCACTACCCTGTATGTACCTAGATGTAGAAGTATGGTATGACCAGTATTCTAAACTTTATAATTTGCACTAAGTTGGAACAAAACCTATTGTTTTTACCCTTTCAGCTGCAGCAGAAAGTGGAGAGCCTGGAGCGCTCTCTGAGCCACGTCGTGCAGGAGTTTGAGACAGAGCGGGGCGCCATCTTTACCCAGACCATGGTGGAGACGGAGTCTTCACGTGTCGAGATAGCCAAGCTGCAGAGAGTCCTCGACATGAAGGACCGCGAGATGAAGAAGGTGAAGCGACTGGCGAGGAACATCCTGGATCAGGTGGGTACTGTAAATCATGAAATGTTCGCAGTGATTTTATTTTCACAACACACAGGTAATTCATGACATCCCGAATATGTGTCTCTACTGTATTACTCTCTTCTAGTCCCAACATGTGTTACTATTCTTCCCCCTCCTGTCCTCAGAGAACAGAGGTTGAGCGGTTCTTCCTGGATGCGCTGGAGTACGTCAAACAAGAAATAGCTGCCAACAGGTGAGTACAAACATTACAAATGTCCTCATGATCAGGCATGATTATTTCTCAGTCATCTGGATGCAACCTTTCAAGACTTAACAATTCCACAGACCTGATGCTTTGGGGACACCTAAATGCCCCTACATTCCAGCATTGGGCTAGGGTTATCAGAACATACGAATGTTGAAACAGGAGTGTAACCAATGCTTTTATGTAGTTTGATCTGGCTTTTCTCCAAGTCTAACATGATGTCTTCTGTTTGCTCCACAGGGCCCAGTACCTGCGTGATGCACGGATGGTTTACCAGAAGAAAATGATGGCTGCACACGCTGGCCATGGGGACTTCCCTCGCGTAAGAACCTTCAACAAGATGGAAGGGAGCACCAACACTGTTTACAGTGATCTGGAGGAGGCAGAAAGATGGTAACATCTGGTTTCTCTGCCTTTTTTCTAAATAATCTGTTCAACATAAGTAAACAAAACAATGTACAACTAGAATTCCGAGATCTCATACCTCCATGAAATATGATCTTGATATGTAAATGTAAATTTCTTCTTTAATTGTGCAAATGACGTCTGCATTAACATGATATATGCATCGTGATGTATGTTAACTTTTGATTAACTTACAGATGTCCCAAGTATGACATTCTCATCATTCACCATTACGAAATCATAGAATTTTCGCATGAATTATGCAAATTAGGTCATCATTTGCATGATTAGTATCTGTTGATATTCCGCCTGCCATAGGTTACATACATTACATGTATGTAAGTAGTATAATGTAAAACACTGTAATTATAGAATTTCCTCATTAATTATGCAAATTAAGTCCTCATTTGCATAATTTGCATTTAATTATGTACATCTCTCTCTCAGCTACCTACACACCAAAAATAATGAAAATATGTTGTTTCTGTCTGGACTTATTGGCTTTTAAACATTTCGCCAGAAAGTGCCCTGCAGTTCCAGAACAAGCCGCTAGGGGGCCCAAACTCATATGACTTCTTCCCAAGCACGAGAGCTACCTTCCATCAAAATTTCATGACCCTAGCATGTCCAGATCGCGAGATATCATAAAACACTGTAATTATAGAATTTCCTCATTAATTATGCAAATAAAGTCCTCATTTGCACAATTTGCATTTAATTATGTACATCTCTCTCTCAGCTACCTACATACGAAAAATAATGAAAATATGTTGTTCCTGTCTGGACTTATTGGCTTTTAAACATTTCGCCAGAAAGTGCCCTGCAGTTCCAGAACAAGCCGCTAGGGGGCCCAAACTCATATGACTTCTTCCCAAGCACGAGAGCTACCTTCCATCAAAATTTCATGACCCTAGCATGTCCAGATCGCGAGATATCAAAACCGGAAGTTGCGCTGCAGTACCAAGGAAAGCCACTAGGGGGACCAAAATCTCATCATTTCCAGTTTTCGTCACACCCTACCAACACACCAAGTATGAAACCAATCCATCCAGGCGTTCTTGAGTTATCTTGTTGACCAACAGACGGACAGATAAACGCAACTGAAAATATAACCTCCATGACACATTTCATGGAGGTAACAACTGAGGAGTGTTATGGAGGCAAATTTTAGGAGCCTGTATAATAAACAGTTTGAATTATGTATGGCAAACCTGAATGTATGACAAACTGACAACTCTTCTGTACTGCTCTTCTTTTCATGCTGAATTTAGCCATCCGTGGTAAGTGCCTGGCAAAGGAGTCACAAAGCACACCAAATTCAACCACTACATGCCAACCTTTTGGGTGATCGGAATATGCACCAAAGTATTTCTATATTGAAGAAATATCTATTGTACCAATCAGTAGTTCAAGGTGCAAGTCTTAGGGCCACTCAAAGCACTACCTGGTATTGTTTGTTTGGAGAAAAAAACGGGTCAACATTCAAAGGCCACCTTAATGGGTGCAACTTTCTTTTGTAAGTGTGAGTTTATAGTGACAAAGTAGATCCTAGATACTTCTGGCAAAGAAGTTGGGCATTAAAGTCCTTGTGTTGACCTTTGACAGGACTGGGGTTGGAGGGAAGGTTGACCTCGCTGACCTGACCTGGGAGCAGAAGGAGAAGGTTCTGAGGATGCTGTTTGCGAAGATGAATGGAACGAGAGAAGCAAACCGGAGACCGCCCGCAGTCCCCCCCATCAGGACGAAGACACAGCCGACACTCAGCATTACACAAAAGGGGGAGAGGTGGGCACAATTAAGTTTTACTTTGTTATTTGAAAAAGATGCTGTTTTCTAACTGATTTAACAATATACAGTTAGGCCACACCAATTTAATTTCTTGGTTAACGGATTTTTCTAGAAAAATAATGGAGCGGGCGGGCGAAAAAAAAAAATAAAACAGGCCTAGGCATGCTATTATGGCCCAAAATGGTACGATAGGAGCCATGAAGTCAACACACCAGACTGGTTCAAAATTTAAACAATGAATTTTGAACTTTTAATGATACCATTGCATTGAAAGATGGAATAACTGTAACAACTAGGATGAAAAGGACTGTATTCAACTGTTCAGGGCTAAATATGAGCATTTTGCAGCTGATTTTGAATTTTTATTTTTATTTGCAAATCAGAAAAAAATGAATTGGGCAAATCCGTTAACCAAGAAATTAAATTGGTGTGGCCTTATAGACCGAAATATTTGACATCATACTGAAATCCACGTCCCTTTCAGTATGAATAAAAATGAAGAAATAATTCTTTACCTCCCATCCCGTAGACCTGGTCCATCCGCAGATGACCTTGGGGACAGCACTTTCCTCACAACAGCGAGCGTCAACGAGGACGGACAGCTGAGCCTGCCACCCTTAGATCCAGCCACTGGGGCCGGGCTGTCCACCTCTGCTGTCCAGGACACAGCAGCTCAGCCCGAGGCAGCTGTTGTGTCGTAGTCATGGTTTACCACTTACTGTAAACAGTCCTGACCATATGTCGGAACATAGGACCATTGGGAGTCATAGGGCTGTCCACAACAGTACTGGACCATCTCAACACATCATGTCATCATCATGGAGGACATATGACATAGCCCAGACTTCAACCAATACTGGTCATTTCTAATTTTGGGAGACATACATTTGAAATTGTTGCTGATGTACAGCAAATTGTTTACAACCTGAAACTTTGTAAACATTGGATGATTTGGACCAGATTTGTTGTAACAGTTTTAGAAGCTGGCTTACATTCTTGTAAAAAATAATCTTTACAAAATTTTGTCGACAAACATGCTACTGATATGATACTTACTGATACATTTCTAATCTAATGTCTCCACAATACCAGCATTTTTTAGCAATTTTAACAACTTCTTCTTTGTTTGTAAATAAGGTACGAGGAGTATTTTAGCATTGAATTTTGTAGTCAGGAGTGTTATACAAAGGAAAATGTACAGAAAATAAACTCCATCAGTAGACTTACAATACTTCATGTGCTATTTGAACTGTTGAAAGTATTGTATATATATATATACCTGTATATACATGCACAATTGAAAATGTGGTTTTGAAAAGGTTTTGGGTAGTACACACAAATGATAGGACAAGTTATAATTAATAGAACAAATGGCCCAATTCTCTGGAAAACTATTTAATCCTTCTTAGCAAGAAATCACGAGAAGAGACAATGTTTGGTACATACAAGACTGATTTATTCCATCAGTTCTGTATAATCTAGACAGACGGATCACTTTTCACATCTTTCTTGTTTCCATATTTATAAAAGCTAGTAGAAATCATCACTTTTTCTGGCCCCTTAGAGTCAATAGTCAACCTGAATGTCAACTGAACAATTCTCAAGATTGGAACAGCAAAAGATGGGAAAATTAAGAATTTTAGTTTGTTTGGTACATAGTTTTACATACAGAACCTTTATGGTATTCCTGACCACAGTTCTATCTAGTGGCTTACTAGTAGGCCAGTTCAGGCTTGAAAAAGAAGCTAAAAGAAGAAAAGGAAGACAATGACAGAATAATTTCATAGACCTGATAATTTTTCTCCTACAATATTATACTGTCTAATTTCGTTCTCTGTACAGAAACGCCTGCAACTTTTGCAAAGAAAATTCTGTATAGGCTTTTGCTATACAAACATGCTATATTGAAAGCAGCTGACGTGCTTCAAGAAGTAATTGTTGCAGATAGTAAAGACACGTCGGTGTTTACAGATCCAACATTGGATTATATTTAAAACATAAAACCCGGGGGTGACTACAAGCAGCTGAACTTTGGGTCAGGCAGATTATATTCCCTTCTTTCCGTATCTGTAAATCGAAGTCCAACTGCAATGATAGAAAAGACTACCAAATGCATAACAGAAAGGCTGGTTAAAATTGCCTCTGTCTGCTGAGCCTTAAGTCTTGCCTGCTGATTGGTTCGTACATATGTAGATGACAGGAGTGCTGCTGCCATCTTGGATGCACTGAGTTCAATCATCGTCACTTTCTTCACTGGATACTTCGTCTGAAGAACCATCCTCCTCCTGACTACTCCCCTCCTCCTCCTCCTCCTGCTCCCCATCCTGCTCCTGAGTCTCCATGTCTGACATCTCCTCCCAGTCCTCCTGTGGGGAAGGTAAAGAAAATGGGTCTCAATTCAAGTTGGACAATATCTCTCCCACGTCGTCTGGTGTATAGGGCTGTGGTGCTCATGTCTGTAGAGCCTTTGAGCCACACAGTTGCTATCTTACTGATCATAACAGGGACAAACACTGCTGGTGCAGAAGGAGGGTTCCTAACCACTAAACTACACATTACAACCATACTATCTATACACATAGTTTAACCATCTCCATGCTCAAGAAGCCTAATTTTTGCAGCACATTTTTATTGGTTGTAGAGCCAGGCAACAGGAAGGTTAAGAATGGGTGAGACAGTTCCTTACATCAGAATCAGGGTGGCCATGTAGGAGGTCCTCCATCGCATCATCCTGCTCATCAGAGGATTCTGGGACAACAACAAAATTAACAGTCAGCAATCAGTACATCAAATCAGAAAGACATTATTCAAGGAGCAATAGTCTTGTTTGGCTGGTCAGATTGTACACATCAATTAAAAAGTCACCAATGATACTGTATATGATACTGTAAAAGACGAAGGCACCCTTACCATCTTTGTAAGACAACAGGGGTTTGGAGGAGAACTGCCACTGCTGCTCATCCTTTGCTGTAGTCTGGAATAAATCAAGGAGTGTTTGATTTTCCATGGACAACAATGACATCCTAATCCTTTATACTTATTGACTTTTAGCTGGATGTTCCCATTCAACTCAGTCAAGTTATTTTTCAAGGGTGACCAGTTAACAAAAACCACATAAAATTGTCAATGTTCTTTTATTGAAGGAAAATAATAAAAGTTTATAGCAGATTGTAACAAAAGTATACAGAACCAAAATACGTGGAACATAAAAAGAAGCATTTAGAATTCATTACTTCTACAACAGTACCAGAACAACGTAGTGTTGTACCTGTGACAGCACCAGTTTGAGCTTGCCCTGTAACCTTGAGAGTTTGCTGAAGGTCGCAACCCTGGAGTCGAGGAGTTCATACAGGCTTCCCAAGTTGGACACGACATCTGGGCACTGTTACAGCAATAACAACAGCAGAAGAAATAGTCAGGGGAAAATTACCAAACACATCATCATGGACTATCATGGAGTAAGATGCCACAATCACACAAAACATAACAAAAAGTCAGTTATTTCACTGCATTCTGGTGTGCTACACCAACGGACAGTTAAACTGGTCGACTAGTTGAGATTCAGAACATCTGAGTATAGCTTCATATTTTTGTTCACAACCAGTATATGATAGTAATAGTGAGGAAGGTGACAAGACGGTCACCAAAGCACCTGCAGGTGATTATATAATGGTTGTGTGCACAGAACTTTGCCAATTCAACATTTCTACCAATAAGTTTGCAATTCTACTAGTATCTTCAATGATATTGAGATGTAGACAGTACTTACAGTCATAAGGTAAGACGTGTGTGTTTCCAGCACAGCCCTCAGCCATTGCACAGTCATCCCACTGGAGAGGGGGGGAGAGAAACAGTTACATATGCAGCTGAGCCAAGCAGAATGTCCAAGGAAGGTAAGTTACGCAACTAGGATGTTACCACAGATATCTTTACAAACTAATTCCCTAGTTTGATAAACACAGATTCCTAGCGCTCCACAATAATGCCTGCCCCAAATTTAGTTTCTGAGGGTTCTCCCTCGTGTGTGAGACAGTCACCAACTTAGTTTGCCCATGTCATAAGGACAGGATGAGAAGATTTTACCTGCCGGCTCTCCCATGCATTCTCCTAGTCACCTGTAAGGAAAAGGCATGATAATTAGATATGACAGTCAGGTGGACTCATCCTAAACTTCACACAAGGAAAACACAAATGTTAGTTTTTTCATAAGTACAACAGACAACTCGTGCACAAAATACAACTCAAACTAGTATTAGTATCCAAAATTTGATTATACTGCTAAGGAAGGATAGTGATAGTCACATTTGACGTCAAGTAGAAATGTTATACCATTGGCAAGAACCAATTCCAAATTGTTACATTACCTCCTTCAACAGTGGCACTACTAAGGACACAGGTATTCTCTGGACTGTGTTTCTGATCAATGTCTCATTGGCACTGGAAAACACCCTCTGCAACAGAAACAACATGCAACATTAGTTTGTCATGTCATGGTGTACAAAGACTGGCCTTCCTTAGCCTTGGAATAAATGCAATTGATTACAAAATTGGCAGCAATCTTGTATCTAAAAGAAATCTACATTTAGAAATTTGCTAACACTTATGCTATGTGCATCAGTCATCTCTACATGAGGCCTCTCTGCCTTAACCTAGCACTTTTCACTACCCATAGAATGTCTGAGTCTCTCTCCCACCACCTCTCCCCTTCATCCCCCACTCCCAACGATGAATAACAGCCTCCTACCTGCAGTATGTCTGAGTCCTCACTCTGCAGCCCCTGGGTGAGGAGCACGGCCAGCGTGTCTGCCCGCGGGGTGGTGTCTCCCCCGGAGGTCTGCCCCTGGTCCGTAGTGATCACGTCCAGTCTCTCCTGGATACTCAACTGGACAGGAACAACAGCACAACAGTCAGATGATTATTCAGATGGGGGACTTAACATTTAACTTGAAAGAAGGGTCAGATTATGCAGAAAGCTTTTTAATGGATGTGCAAATGGTAATACACAAACTACAAATGACATCTTACTAAACATCTTACACAGGTTTAACTACTGTTGCTGCAGTCACCTTTATGGCTTGTTTGAAATCATGAGAATCAGACTGTGGACAAGGCTTGCTAAAACATGCAATACCACGGTTTGACTATTTTTACTGCTATCACCTTAGCTGAAAAGACACAGGAGTTGCTGACTCACATCTTTAGGTGTTGATTTTTTCTTGTTCTTCTTGCTGCTTGGTGCCGCAGGGTGTGTCATGTGACCCGGTGCCAGGACCGTCACCTCCTTGGCCTTCCCAGGAGTCTTCACCTTCCCAGCATCCTCCTCCAGCGTGATGGAGGATCGGCCAGGGTCTGTCCTGATCAGACAGGTGTGCTTCTCAAGGGTGGAACATTGCTGTTGTGGGGAAAATCTCAGTCAAGTTCTTCATCTCATCTCATGTATTCTGGCAATATAAATTCATAGTTATGCTCTATATCCAAAGCCTTTTCCCTCTGCATAGAGTCCTGAACCTTGCTTCTCTAATCATATTTTCTTGTCCTGAATTATATTTTTCTTGTAACAACCTGACTCCAAAATCCTAATTGCTCTTTATGACTTGAACACAATTCTACAAAAAAAAAGGAAAAGAAGGAAGACAGAAAATACTTACTATTCTCTCAAAAGCAGGCCTGAGTCCAGTACCATATGCTATCCGCAGGGTGGTGTCCAGGTCTGGGCAGAACTGGGCTGCGATGATGGGGAGGGGGGTGGGGGTGGCCTGGCCCCCCTGGGTTGCCACCTGGATCGTGTGCTGGGGGGTCAGGGGCTTCTTGCCTCTCCTGTGGGGATAGGGTGTGTGTTCAACCTCATTCACAAAACTTGTACTAATGATTTTAGTAGTACTTGCACAACTAAAAGACGCATTCATTTATGATTAACGTACCACAAAAATGATGTTCAGACATTTTCTCCATAAACAATTAATGCACTTAGAAACTTTTATGTACTGTGTCCTGTGTAAAACCTCTAGGCATGACAGTTACCATATATTTTGTGATCGTTATTGTACATGATCCTGTAGAGGAAGGTTATCGGTAATACTTACCCATTTAATATAAACTTGAAGATGTGCAGGTCTCCATTTCTGGTGACCACTGCCAGGTGTGCAGGCTGGAAAACATCAGAAAACCACATTCCATGACTCAGCGGAGGCCATGAAAACAGATCTATGCAGGTCACAACAGGCATAAAGTTTAAAGAACAGGTTGCTTCGTGGGAAATTGTAATTTCAGAGGAAAGTTCTCCCACCTGATCTTTCTGTCTCGGTTTCAAGACGTCCACGTAAACCGGTTCCTCTGTCAGGGAGAAGGAAACAACCGCAGTCTTCTCCTTAGACTTCATCTTAATTTGCCTGGAAGGATAAGAGAGCAGTCAAGCACGATAAGGATGTGGTCCGTCTGACATGCCTCTTAGAAATACATGTAATAGTAGGAAGCAAAGATAAGATATCTTTAAGATATACATGATCAATTCTCCCAGACTTACCATGCATTCATCAATCTGTCGTGTACAGCCCCAGACAGAAAGTACAGTCCATCCACTGTCGTCTCCTGATTGGAGACACTTTTTCTCCTCCCATTGGCAGGGGGAGGGGGCAGTGTGGCAAACAGGAGGGAGGTCACCAGACTTGCATGGCCCGTGAAAGTCTGCCAGCAGGAAAGAGAGAAGCACACTTTTAGTACAATATCAAACTAAAAGAACAATGTCTATATGTTAAGACAAGGTGTTAAACCATCAGTAGGAAAATTCATAACTTTGCAACATAGTAGTTTTGTCGTTGATTCTTATATTTAATGCAAAAATAAGCCTAGGGACATGATGAAAACAGACGACTGGGAATCACTTGAATCCAACTATATTCCTTGCCCAAAACTGTGGTCTGGTTTCATGCTGATTTCCCATTCTTCTATACAACCTGCCAACCAAGTTGAACTGGTTTGCCCTTAAACTGAAAGACTCATTTGTAAAACAAAGTAAGAGCTACAAAGCATCCTTACCAGAAGGACCTCCCTCTTCTCCAGGTCCCACAGCTTGATGATTCTGGCTGCAGACAGCAGAGTTTTCCCTCCTGGACCCAGGCTGATCGTTTGGACTGATCCTTTGTCGGCTTTCCATTTACTACACAAGATGGATGAAACCGGTATTCATGGTGAGCAAATACAACCATAAATGTCTTTTTCTACATGCTACTAGTAATATGTCCTTCATTAAAAACTTAATAACTTGTAATTTGTTGCTTTTTCCAAAAACTTATGAGACATTAACAATAAATAAAGAGGAGCATTTCTACTTGTTGGGGAAGATAACTTATCATCATTTCTGTGAACACAGAATGATGGACCTTGACAGACAGACAACACAAAGGAAGATCTGTAAAAGCCTAAATGTAGCAGACATTTCTATGACATATCTTCACCATTTGACTTGTGCTGTTGTTACTGTCCACTCCACGATGTGCTGGTCATCTGAACAGCTGAATAAGGAGTTTTCCTCGGCATGCCAGCACAGACAGTTCACTATGTCATCATGGCCTCCAGTCTGGATAAATAAATGATAAATCTCTTTGCTTCAATGGCAGACGTGCTGTTTTGTTGTTGTTAGGTATTTGACCTGGATTAGAAGGTTGCTGATTCACTGTTCTGAACCCCAATATTACGTCCAGTTCACTGGGGGATCTTATGAAGTTATGTTAATGCCAGCCATGATGTTACTGTATGTAGAATCTGTTACATCATCAGCATGTTTATGAACACACCTGTCACGAGTAATGGTACGAGTGGTGGTATACCCAGGCCACTGTCTTGTCTTACAGCATTGGCTAAGGGGGATGGAGGGAATTTGCAGTTACCCTAGCCGTGGCGACTCTTGATTCGGGCTTACATTGCATTACCCTCTGCAAGAGTCGTGGAAAGATCCATTGGCAGAACTGCACATTTCCCGTTGGCTGCCCGATGCTCCATTTTTGACCCGGTTTTTTGCTGTCCCGAGCTTCCCTACAATATAACTCCACAATTGGCCGGGTTGCCGATGTTCACATCAGCCCAAATATTCCACAGCGCGACCAAAAACTACCTAACCTCACTTATTTACGAACCGCGCGGCCATCTTGAATATAGTCTGGAATGTCCGGTGCAGTCGTCGGGAACGCTCGGCAGGCTTTCCGGTTATGATCGGAGAGTTTTCGGTCGCGCTTCGGTAATCGTGACGCTTCCGAGCGTTCCTGACGACTGCACCGGACATTCCCGACTATATTCAAGATGGCCGCGCGGTTCGAAACCGGGTCAAAAACGGAGCATCGGGCAGTCAACGGGAAATGTGCAGTTCTGCCAATGGATCTTTCCACGACTCTTGCAGAGGGTAATGCAATGTAAGCCCGAATCAAGAGTCGCCACGGCTACAGTTACCCAAGCTAAGGCTGACTGATGACGATGATTTACTAAGTCTCAGTACAGATGTGTGTGGTGTTTTGACTGTTCAAGATAATAAAATAAATCTCACCAGCTGACTCTGTAGATCCCCCTTGACAACACTGTACAACAGGATGGTGCCAGCCGTGGTTCCCATGGCGATAATATCCAATGAGGAGAGGGCTGACATCTGGTCCGATTTTCTCTTCCTCTTCTTGTGTTCATTCTAGGAGATGGTTATATTCTGGCATTATTAACAATTTCAAACTAACTACATGTTACATCTCGGGCTTCTGAAAAGACACAATAATAGAGCCAACTCTTTATAACTGTCAGGTGTGGTCAACATAAGTCTAGATTCAAGACTTTGAAATCATCTCTGAAATCAGACGTGACTCATGATCTACACAATTTTTTTTACGTGACTATTACATTATCATCCACTATGTCACCATTCATTACTGTTGATGTCAATGAGTGAGAAAAGTGTAAGATGATCTACCTTAGCGGTGGTTTGGGAAGTTTTAGTTTGGAAACACCGAACACACAGCAGTGTACCTTGCTATGACTGATAGCCAACATTAAAATTATGTGAAAAGCATACTTGACCAGATGGGTAAAAAATCGAGTAGAAGTTGTAAGTTAAGCGTTAGTCCAGCAAAGAACACGTGTTATAGTCTATGTTGCAAGACTGATCGAGACCAAAATAACAATTTGCGTTGGATTGAAGTTTGGAAGTTTTGTATAACTCCCTTCGCCCTCCCCCCACATGCTCCCTAACCCAGATGCAACCACGCACCCTTGCCTCGCGCAGAGGGCCCCACGCCAGGCACGAACACGTCGCGCTGAGGTGCGCCGACGGCGTGTACTCCTGTCGCATTGCTCCCGAACCCGTGTCCCATAGCTGCAGCCGTCCGTCTGCCGACGCCCGGGCCAGACAGTCGCTGGAAGGAGGGGAAAACTGGCACAGTCTTTCTGCAAAGTTTGTCGCCATCTTGCGACACGTGTGGCGATGTGCGCATGCGTCAGAGTGGGAGTTGCGTTCGCACTGGGCTCGTTCCCAGGAACGGTCGTTTAACAAAACCACGTGATCTTTTTTGACTAATCACCATCAACATTTTCCAAAATCTCGTGCCTTCTTTTTTCTCACACGAAGCACTTTGAGGAGGAGCGAACCATTATGACTCCAGGGTAAATGATTGGATAAATACTATTTGAAGAAAAAAATGAAAATGATATACAAAATACAAAAAATTATACAGAATAATAGTGATCCTAAAAGTCTCTATATTGAGAAAAAATGTTTCAAACATAGTTATTTACAGCTACAATCATGACTTTGCCCCTCATTCATAATGGAGTAGCCCATAGCGGAAGGACGAGGGTCGGTAGTGTACGGTGATGTTTGTAGAAGGTGTCATGTGAGTCCAAGTTTCCAAAGTCCACTTTACAGCCACATGCTTGGCTGGGCAGCGGACAGTCTGACCTGGGACGTCGGGACACATTCAGAGGAGGAGGGCCAGGCGCTGATCGCAGTAGACGGGAGTGACATGGAGCGGAGGCAACCCGCGGACGGGATGGAAGACATCCTCGTACCTGGCGCCAGACCGCCCAGGGACAGGTGAGACCACACGCTGAATTAGTGAAAGGACGGACAAACCAACAGAGGGCTTAAATAATTTGTTCATGCTATTGTTTTCAAACAATAACCACCACAGCAAATATGTCCGATATTCCTTGTCACAGGTAACGTTATCTGTATCTGTATTAACGTTAGTATGATATGATGGAGACCAGGTGAGATATCAGGTATCATCAAAGTACTGGACTGACAGTTTTTATCCCCAGCTCTATGTGCCTTTGTCTGTCCTGTGTTAACCTTGCACATGTGCCAAGTTTGCCATCCTGGATGACATCATCAGCACCTGATCAAGTGTGAGAGCATGAAAGAAAACACAAGATGGACCTAAAAACAAGATTCCAAAGCTTTGAAAATGAAGTGACGAAAAAAGTTTCAACTACAATCAAAGTTTCAAACATCAGAACATGGCATGAAAACTATTACATACCAACTTTAAGTAGGGGTGTGAAGTACTGTGAACTTCTTGCATTGTTGCCAGTTTGGTATACAATTATATACTAGTATATAAAGTCCTTGACAATACATAATATGTTAGTTCATACAGTAGTCATATCCTCCAGATCAAGACTATACATTTGGTGAACTGACAATTTTTTTACAAGTTAACTTCAGGAAGTGTAGTGTTTGACTTTCACTCAGTGGGTTGTTTTTGTTCTGCATGAGCTGTTTAATCACTGATTATTTATTCTGTTGTTTCAGGTACAATGCTGTGTACATCATATTCTTCCTGCTGGGACTGGGCATGCTGCTGCCATGGAACATCTTTATCACTGCAAATATGGTGGGGAATGTTTCTACTTGTGTGCAATTCTAGTACCAAGCAAGTGGTATTGTTCAGTTGGAATAACATTGTATATCTATATATAGTTATAAGGTTTCAGATGTGGATCTCACAGACAGTTGCCTTTTTACCCATTAAAATGTATGTATGTAAAGTTATGTATATGTATATGGCCTCAGTCAGTTGATAGCCTTGGCTTTGGCTAAACAGTCGTACAACAGCCTTCCAGTAAAACTTACCAGATTTGTAGGTGTGTGTTTTTCGTTCCTGGTTATATTTAATATGTACATCAAATGACCTGGTACACCTGACATAGGATTGTCACTATATTGTAGCCTGGGTTCCATTTGTGAATGCTATACCCACTTCGTTCCACCTGTGCTCTTCCTTTGAGGAAGGAGGTAGAACACGTGAGTATACATGTACTAGTTCACAGATGGAGAGGCTAACTATGTATTATTATAAATGCACTTGAAAACTGCAATTTTTGTTTGACATCAAGGCTTTTGTCCATTATCTGACATTTCTGTCATTTCTTTATTACATTTATTAACGCTTCCTAATAATATTTCTTATTACAGTATTTTAGGAAGAAGTTCACGGACTCCAGATATGAAGACACCTTTGAGAACTACTTCTCTGTGGCCTCCATGGTTCCAAATGTTGTCTTTCAGCTGCTCAACATATTTGTGGCTCACAGGTTAGACCACCCGTATATTGATGATGACATTAAAGTTTGCTATTAGTCCAAATGTTACTTACACATGTACTCTAGTATGTTGACAGGTCTTTCCTGTTTGCCTCAGGGTTCCCCTGAATGTCCGCATGGTTGTTCCCCTGTTCACCATGTTGGGATGTTTCATCCTGACAGCAGCCATGGTCTGGGTCAACACTGGCAAGGACATCACTCATGATCACTCACCCACACTGTGTAAGGAAATACACATGCTGAGGAAGCCTTTTTGTACCAAAGTAGCATATTGATTCTGGGTTAGACTGCATGGAGTAGCAATGTTGGTAAAATCCCCATATTGTGTCTATCTAGAGTAAAAGTGTAAGTCATGCCTTTTTACACAAGTTCATAATCATCATCATCATCCACTGACCCATCAGGTCGATTTACTAGCCTAAGAACAATATGTATTTCTATGTGATGAATGTGTGAGCAGATTCACAACTGTAAACTGAACCTTATATTTTTACACTTCTGTATTGATTCTCATGTTTCCTCCACAGCAACCAATGGCTTCTTCCTGATTACAATCTTCACAGTGGTTATCATCAACTGTGAGTAACTGCAAAGTACCTTCCCAAACAATAGTTCCTTAGTTGTGAAATGTAAAAAAAAATTAAATGTCATTCAAAGTATCACAGAGTGAGCCAGTTATCTACATTTGCATTTTGTCTGTAGCCTTCAAATTTCTGAAACAAGTCTTGATATTTTATGGTACTTGCGTGTTGGTTTTAATGTTTTTTCTTTCCTACAGTGGCTAGTGCCATCATGCAGGCAGGGTCCTTTGGTGTGGCTGGGAAGTTCCCAGGAAAATACACACAAGCCATCATGAGTGGACAGGTAAGCTACAGTACAGGAAACACTTGATAGCTCCCATTTTTCTTGAGCATAGGCAAAACATTACTTACCCGTCTGTTCAAAGTTTTTAAGGTCTATCCCAAGCACAGATATCAGAGGACAGAGGACTCATTACCCAGACAGAGATTTGTTCTAAGTGAACAAATTAAGAAAGACAGGAATAGTTGTTGATACGTGTTGATGTGGTATTCAAACAGACTCATCCTCCTTTCCTCCACAGGCATTAGCCGGGGTCTTTTCAGCACTTGCAAGTATATTTTCACTGGCAGGTGGGTTGTTTTCTTTGCCATAATTTCTGCTTGCTTAGTAATGCTAATCTGAATAACATAGAATTCTGTGCCATAACATATGAGGTACATTTAACAATGAAAATAACTCCTTGATTGAACAAAAAGAATCTGTGGTTAGCTGATCCACACTTTTGAACTGAAACTACATTACCTAATCAAGTCATTGGTTTTATGTGATAAGGTAAAGATACATGACAACAAAAATATGCTTACATCAATATGACATGGTTCCTTGTCTTCTTCTTCTGTTGGCTGCTACTTGCAAGCGACTGAAATTTTCCAGTCAATTCAGTTTCTGTAACGGTTGGTGATCTGCTTTGGTACTAGTGTTGTAATAGGAGTTGACATGAAGTCCTTCCCCTCCCCCTCAGCTGGAGGTGACCCCATCCACAGTGGGTTTGGGTACTTCCTCACAGCCGTTGCAGCTATTCTTGTTGCCATGGTTTCATACCTTCTACTAAAGAGATCTGTGAGTATCACCTGGCATTGGAACAGAACATTTTCTTCTCAACATTCCTTTACCAAGGTGACATTTTAAAGTAGTCTCAAACAAAAACTTACTTTTTATGTTTCCAACCCACAGGAATATGCAAGGTACTATCTACAAAACACCCGTGGTAAGTCAACAGAGCCTTTGATGCCTCTATACAAGTAATGCAAAAGTTCTGTTAAGTTAAAAAAAAACTGTAAAGGTGTACTGGGTTGAAAGTAGAGTTTGATCATGCAGTAAATGCAACCAGGTTACCCTAAGCATGCTGTACCTCTCAGTCTGCTCAATTGTTGTTGTGCACAGTTGAGATCAGACAGAGTAAATAATTAAAGTTATTCTCTGTTTAGAAGTGCCGTCTGTAAATGAGGATGAGTCCATTGCAGGTGTAAACGGGACAGCACCTGCTGCAGGTGTGCCTGACCTGACAGGTAGCGGGGCAGAGAACATGCAAGTCTTAGGCAGCTCCTCTTATTTACAAATCTTCAGAAAGGTAAGGGCCATGAAATCATAAAAACTTGAGATAATTAAAGATTGAAAAGACACTGTTTTGAAATGCACCGTAATTAATTTGATTCCGTATGTTTCTGGTATGATATGTGTATTACAAATTTCCAAGTAAATTCCAGATGACCAATATTAGATGTTCCCTCTTGTAGATCTGGGTTCCTGCTGTGTGTGTCATGTACACCTTCATGGTTACACTGTCCATCTTCCCGTCTGTGTCATCCCTGATCGAGTCTGTCAGCAAAAGTGATGGCAGTAAATGGACAGGTGGGGTCACAGTTTTTACTCCTGTAGGTACAACTGAAAGCTGGTTGTACGGTTTTCAGTGTGTTAGCAAAAGCGATGTGAAGAGCTTCTACACAAGAACTACAGCCTACTGTAGGGTTTTTAACTCACCTGCAGTTAGTAATAGTACAGTGTTATGTACATGTATAAGTCTAAATGGGGTTGCTGTGTTTGTTTGTTTTTAGACATTTGACAGAACAAGGTACACATGTGTATATATTACACATGACCACTAAGATTGAGAAACACAGATGTGTAAGTCGGATATTCTTTCTTTCAGGAGAGTTTTTCATCCCTGTGACATGTTTCCTGTTCTTTAACCTATCGGACTTGGCGGGGAGGGTTATAGCAGGAGCTGTGCAGTTTGTAAGTCTTCTCAGTACTTTCTGTGTGTTTGCTAGTACCTACATGAGTAAAGAGAATTTTCTTGTAGTTGGATTGAAAACTGAACCATGTTGGGTAACAATGCAGATGAGTTAACTGTTTCATGCTGTGATGTTAGGTATCACACACATTTTGTACAGTTTGTGTAAGCCTCTCTTCTACCTGTATTAGATTCCTACAAGTTAAGTATTCCTTCCCCTCCAGCCAAAAGAGAAGAGCATCCTGCTGCCTATCCTGGTTCTCCTGAGAACAGGGTTCATGCCACTCTTCATGTTGTGTAACGCCCAACCGGAGGAGTTCTCCCGCCGCCTGCCTGTAGTGTTCAACAGTGACGCATACCCCATTGTCTTCATGGTGCTGTTTGGGGTGTCTAACGGCTACCTGGGTAGTTTGTGTATGATGTATGGACCAAGGTGAGCATAGGGTAGCCAAGAGATTTTCATCAGACCAGTGACATTTGTACATCATGTCAATTGAATTTGTCTTAACTTCATCTTTTGCCCATTTGTAATGGTGAAGATTGTTTATCTTGACCTCCACCAATGTATGAACTTTTTACCAATAGAAACAGAAACACGTAATATGTTTTGTAAGCAAATTTGTTGCCTCTGGCTTGAACAGGTTAAATCAATGCACGTGTGGATGTTATATCTGAAAGCAAGTCTATGTTTTGCAGTGCAGAGTCCATGTACTTCCAGGACAGGTGATGTTGAAAGATCGCTGTTGTTTATTCTCCATGCAGGTTGGTCTCAGCAGAACATGCAGAGACAGCCGGGATCACCATGTCAGCCTTCCTGACCCTGGGGCTGGGCCTCGGGGCTGCCTTCTCCTTCGCTCTGACTGCAAGCATTTAGAGACATCTACTTATGTCAGACAGCACTAGTGTGTATGTGTCTTGTGTGTTTGGACTAGCCCAGAGTCCGGTCTTTTTAGCTTAAGTGCACTTCCAATGGTCTCTACCTGGCAGGATAGCTAGTGATGGATGAAGCAGACAGAAGCTAACAATACTGGACTCCAGGCTATGTTTGGACCAGAACATCTACTGTCACAACATGCTGATCAATAAGTATGTATGTGTGGTCCATTGCCAAGAATCCTACCTCTGGACATGAAGATTTAAAGTTAAAATCCTTTTTGTGGTGGTCTCCAGGAAGAGGTTGAATGGTAAGATTGACCTCGTTTTCTGACAGCCGGCCATCAAGGGTCTGTATTATGTTCTTGGACAGTCAGGAATGTCACGTATGTTGTTAATCAGGAATGTCCTGGCACATTGAATGTGTATTTACATATAGTCAAATATTGGATACTACTACCAGGTGCTACCACCATGGCACCATCCTATGTTGGGTCTGTCATAAGTGGAAGATTAATTTAGGTGTTCATTAAGATATTTCAGGTGGCTTGCCAGGACAAAGTCCTTTCTTTCTCCTCAAGATAATTCCTAACAATATATGTGAAATGGTCATTGACATTTATGCTGTTTTTAGTGAATACCTCAGTGGTAGCATGCCTTATTTCAGTATAATCAGTATAATTGATCATCTTTTGGTGTGAAATGGGGGCCAAGATGTATTATTTCAATGTTGATTAACATATTTCTGTGTTGTGTTTAGAAACCACTCTCTGCCAATAACAATATTTTACTTATCTTGGCTTATTGTCATTGACAAAGATTGGTTAGGAAGGTAGTCCACACAGTTGCTGTTTTATGCCAAATGATATATAAGCGAAGCAGTTGATAAATCACACACAGATATAATGATTCTACATTTCTTTAATACTAGTAAAATCTATCTGTGGGTACCACATGGATGAATTGTTGTGAAGGCTGTGTTGTAAAAATATATGCCAGACACTGTCAGAAGTGGTATGTGCTTAAGCTACATGTATACAGAAGTACTAGTACAATATAGCGTGTGCCTAAGCTACATGTATAGGCAGATGTTGCAGGTTCTGTCACAAGATAGAAAAACTTTTTATATGCCACTCCAATATCTACTAACAATCCCACAACACATTCAAGTCGTAAAAAATAATCTCTGGTTAAAGTATTTTTTTGCCAAGTAACATCACAGATATTTCCTGTATACATATACATGAGAAGAGACACAGCATTAAAGGGAGAATAGCAGATTTTCATGGGAGAATAGCCATCCTCACATTGTAAAATGGTCGGTCCACACCTGTGGCTTTGCCAATATGTATCAACGACCAGAACCTATCTAAATTCTGCATACCTAAGTTCATCTTTACATTTTTAAGAACAAAAGCACCACATACTGTAGCAAGACAAAGACATGCTAGAGCTAGTACAGGTGAGAGGCTGCCTACCCTGTATGGAATGGAAAAGTCAACTGTGCTCTCCTGGGCAAAACTGCCCCCGGCATATTGGTACTCACAAAAAAATGCCATGCATAATGTTGTACAACATGGGTTTGTGCAGGAGGAGGGCTGCATTTTTTTTGTTAAACCCAATTAGTTTTAGTTTTACACCAGTCACTGGAAATTTTAAAGGCTGTTGGAAGCTCTCAAAACATGAAAGAATGGTTTGATAGCTATTTGCAGCAAAAACAAGTTTGCAGCATGCAAGATATAATTGCAGCATAAACACTACACAAGCTCAGTGTAAATTTTAAGTGAGCATAATTGTCAGGGAGCACCCTTTTTAGAGCTAAACAAGTTTCCAGTATAAATACAAATTATACATGTCAGTAATTTTCATTTGTAGGTTTTTATACAGTGGTTAATATGCAGATAAATGTCACTTTTCAACTGTTTTTACATGTTGGAATTGCAAATACATGGTTTGTTCCAGAGAAACATTAGGCCACCAATTAATGTTCAACTTTGTTCTCTAACATTTTGAGCAAAACGTCAGCAAAAGTGTTAAGATGAAAATTGACAGCTTGGAGGAAATCTTGCATCTGACTTTATTCACTCTCAGAAACTTTGTGTAATAAGGTTAAGACTTTTTTTTCTGACTATTTCGATTGCATTGTTTTCAAAATCTGAGAAACATATTAAATTGGTGTAGCCTTGAGTAAAAAAAGTAAAAGAATCTTGAGTAAGGCCTGATCATTTCCTTTTGGACTGTGTGTGTGTTGCTGTTGCTGTGAAGGCTTCAGGTGAGTCCTGTGTTGGTGGGAGTGTGACACTGGATTCTTCTCCAAAATATTCAAGAACTTTCCTCTGGTCATTTCACGGGCTGGGAGGGAAAAGGGCTTCAATCTTTGTTCTTACACAGCACATGGGTAAAAAAGGAGGTAAAAATCATACAAGCTCAACTTTCTACATTTAATAGTGCTACTAGACTGGCCTCCATTGGTAAGGTGGTTTTGTGGTTAGGGTTGTTGACTGAGAATCTAAAAGTTCTAGGTATATAAAATCCCAAGTACCGGTACTAGTACTAGGCCTGAATGTTGTGCCCTTAGGAAAAGCACCTTACAGTCTGGTCTTATGCAGATTGTACTTACTGTACAAAATGAGGTGTACATGGTTTAGAGGATATGTAAAACAAAGAAAACTGACCCTCGTCCAACCCCAGCTGGTAGGCCAGGTTCTGCAGTCCTCGTACCTTTTCCATCAGGTTAGCTGTCGTCAAACTGCCAAACTCTGCAAACAGCAAGAAACAGAGGGGTACATCACAAACTGTCCAGGTGTCACAAAAATGATGGTGTTACAAGTATGGCGAAAATTCTCAACCATGCTAGCAGAGTCTGCTGGTGACATGTTGAAGAAAGCCTCGAACAGTCTGAAGAACTAACTACAATTCCATGGATTAGGGTATGCCCGAGAATCTAACTATTCCAATTTGTCCTTTGCACAGAATCTACTAATGACTCTTCAGTACAAGGAGAGACTTCACTTGCTAAGCCGGTCAGAGGAGAGATGGTCCTTACCCTGTAACATATCAATGTCATCTTTCTCCAGCTCCTGGACCCACTTGGGCGTGGCTGAGGCACTGCCTGCCAAAGGCTGAACAAAGGATACAGAAACATGAACCACTCATATCAACCACAACATCCTCCAGGACTTTCACTACCTTCAGATGTCACTGGTTGCAACAAAGACCTACAATTAGTTCAAATAGATATAAATTAGAAGTACATGGTTACACTAATAGACTTGAGAACACTAGCTTCTGTAAGTGCTAACAGTTACACTGTTACACTGTTTTACCCTTTCCACTAGAGGCTGCGACCGATTAGTGACCAAATATTTGACAGATTGCAGACATCACAGAATGCTGCAATGTTTTATATCAATAAACAATTACATAATACACAATGAATTTCACAAAGATTAAAAGAACAAACTTTTTAAACACTTTTTTTGTCTTTTAAATCATCCTGCATCCAATCGTAAAATCATGGGTCACACAAAGCCAACAGTCTCTCAGTGCAGCTCCTCAGTGACTGGAGTCTAGAGGAAAGGGAGACCTTAGAAAGAATGTGTGCCCTTGTTGTGTATCCATCTTTGATCAAACAGAGTAAGGGGAGAGCACTGGTAATGGTAAACCTTTAGATAGGATACTATCCTGATACTTTACATCAGTGGATATAAACTAACCAAGAAGATTCACAGGCTTGGTATTAAACCTAAACTGTATGCTAACATCACTGGAGAGAGGGATACTTGCCTTGCCTGGTAAGTTTATACTTACAGATTTGTAAGCAAACTCCGATACACCAGGAACTGAAACAGATGGGGACAGACATTAGGTTGAAGTAACAAGAAAGTTGACAGTCTATAGTGACATGGTAACAGATCAGATATGGTCTGTGGCTTCTCATCGATCTGACAAAAAACATCCAAGAACAGTACAAGATAAACTACTAGCACATGTATAATTAATGCAGGAGTCAAACCTGTTAGAAGAAGTGACCACCTCTACATAATTAAAGAATACCATTGCAGTATCAAAATACTTAAGGGCTGGGTACAATAAGTTTGAAAGGCTCTCTAGTCAAATCTGTGTTTGCCAAAGTTGGCTACATACTTCAAAACCCCTCAGTCCTCCTCATTTTTGCCCTGCACACACCATACTACTTACTCTGCTCAGGCCAGAGTTCAGGGGAGGCCCTGTCCAGCCGCTCCAGGCTCAGAAGAGAGTCCACGTCTCCTGACTGGTTCAGCTCTGGGTGGTTGTCAGACTCAGACGCAGAGTTTGTGGCACCACTCTCAGCTATCTCCATCATGTCTGGAAAACAACAGCATTGTGGTGTGGGACAAGGTTCTAGAATACTAGTATTAATACTATTATAAATAATTACTAGTATACAAATCCAAAGGTACCATGTTTTTCTGATCTCCTTTATGTACACTTTTCCTGCATTTTTTTTTAATTTATAACTTATACACATTCATCTTTGTACAACTGAATCATAACACTGACTCTGGGGAAGAGAAAATTTGCCATATCTCACTGTCATCATTTTAACAGTAGAACTGCCAATAGTCTGATATCAAGACCATACAACTAACCTTACTTGGAGAAAAACCTTTTTCTGGGCATTATTTTAACCTCCTTGATAACACCATGGACTGACCGGACAAAAATTAATCTCACAAGTTCACAGCTCCAGTGTGTCTATACTGCAGTACTGCAACTGCAAGACAGTTTTATCATTTCAATTTGAATCAATCAATCAACACATCTAACAGGATCATATACACAAACATTATCCACCACATGGATCCAGTTGTAGTAAGGGAAATAAAGCAGCAGGAACATCTATAATATATTCCGGCCGTGGTCAGATATACAGACTAGACCCTAGACAGAGGTCAAAAGGCGGAGCACTAAAACTCTACGACGTTGTTTTACGTCCTTCTAAAAAACTAAATACGGCAGGAAAACTCGAAAAATGTGCCATCAGATCTATCTATCCTGTACACATAAATGTGCCCGTAAGAGATCGTCTCGCTAGAAGAGATCCGGGGCAGGCTTGACGGGAATCTTTCCACACGACGCAAACACAAAATTGGAAATACCCGCACTTGCCGACGCCATCTTGGTGTGATCACGTGACCCAAGGGGCAGGGTCCTATTTTGGGGTTCTGAGTTCCTCACTGTCCCGGACTGTCACCTGCGGCCTTACAACATCACACCTGAAGTACTTCTACTGGGGTCTTAAGTGTGTGCACGTGCCCTGCGTCTTATACCGGGAGGAGAAGTCGCGTATGGCGGCAAAATCAAAATTGTAATAGATGCCAGCAAGGCAGTTCACTGTGCAACGGCCCTGGAACGAGCATGGCGGGAAAGGTGCTCAGCCCTTTGCAGGCCCTTTGGAGGTCCTAACGGATCCTTATCTCAAGGTAATCATTGGTGAGATGATAAAACCACAAAATCCCGCAGTAGATTTCACAGCTTTTAGTGTGAAAAAAAGGATGTTAAAATTGAAACATCCTCGTCCGATCTTAGCCTCCGAATAGAAACCTTCTCTCAGTGGCAAAACTCTAGGCAAAACTCCCTGGCGGCAAAATCGTCCCTCCGCGGAATAACTCGCGTCGCTCACCGAAAAAAATAAAAACACAAAAAAAATAACGCCGCCGCCCAACAAGTCTGCGAATGAGGCTAGCCCGATCTAGTTTTTCCAAGGAGGCTCTGCTAAAACCTCCTTGGTTTTCCCTACGGACAGGCTCCTACGCGGACCACGAACTGATCTTCTTTTTGCTCAGCTCGTAGCCCAAGGAGCTGGCATCGCATTGCCTAGGTAACGCAGGTTTTTATTAGCCTTGGGTACGCGTCATGAAAATGATTTAACTTTATTTTATTACTAAGTATTTGACCTTTGTTATATCTAGTCGAGTCTACTCAATGATCCTCAAATTATGGTTCAAACGCTTCGCAATTGCAATCTATGGCGCTATCATCTCAATCGATGGACGGATGCCTGTTAGTACAAATGTTTTCGAGAAATGAAGAAAAGAAAAATCTGTGAAAAAGAGTATTGTGCCAAACAAAGTTTTAAAACTAATATAAACTTGCAATCTAACGTTACCCAGCGTTGAAGTCAGACCCTTGTCCAGAACTTAAGATAAACCTATGGCGAACCTGGCGAACGGCAGTCATGTTCCGGGGCCTCTGACATTCCTGATTGGTTGGTGCAGGGGTGAAGCTGAGGTCATCTTCCCTGCCAGGAGTTGCCGAGCTTGTGGATCTGCTGCGTTCGAGGTCCTACAGCACCGACTAAAGGATGGCTTCGCTCGTCAGAACCACATTACGGCCTCTCAGGGTGAGTAACTGGGGCTCTCAGTGTTGCATGGGTGGCCTTACGGCAATGACATGTAATTCAGACGCTTGCCAAAATCGCCGTGCTTTGCTTTGTGAGGAGCTCATGGTGTGTGCGTAGGCATGGGGAGGGGGGCGTGTATGGAAGGCTGAAACAGCCAATATTTGTTGTCTTTTACGATCAAACTTGTTGTGGATATTCTGAAACTATGCAGAACGGCACTTCGTAGTTATTTTACTGCTGTTATTAACGTACAAACAAAGGAAGTTTGATACCAGCATGCAGCAGTATAAAGTTATCTGTCATGTGGGATACCGGGGGCCTTGGCCGCATTCGACCCTCTGATTGGTCAACTCCACCTCCCATATTGTCTTCCTTCCATGAACAATCCATCCCAATGTAATCCTTCAGATCACCAGTTCTGTTTTACTACTTTTAGCCACACCTTATCTCACAAATTGAATATTGTTCTTCTGATTCCTCTGTCCACCTTTTTATTTTATTTTATTTTTACATGCCCTGCCATGTTTGTTGACTCAACACACACCCAGATGCCAACCATTTATCAACTTTGTAGACATGCTGACATGAACAGTTTTCTTCTCTTCCAGACTCAGGCAGTACTGAGGATCACAGGGTCTCGGCTCTATGCATCCAGCTCTGTGGTGAGTAGCAGAATAACTGGTGTGCTAATAATATTGGATACAAAGGCTGAAATTACTGTATTATCATTTCAAGGCTGACTTCTTTCAACTCTTAAGAATTGGTCTTTCATAGCTTTTCATTAGGAATACCTAACCATCATATTCAGGTAGTAATCACAAAAACTGAATATTTCTGGAAAGTACATGTACATGTCAGTAACATGTGAGGTCTTATATTTCTTGTTTCTTACTGTGTCATTAATGTCTGGCTTCAGCCCACAACCAAACTGTTCATCAATGGACGAATGGTAGAGTCAAATGCAACAGAGTGGATTGACGTGCACAACCCCGTAAGTACAACACTTCTGCAATGAAAGATTTAGAACTAGAAATGCAAATGTACTAGTAAACAACAATTTTGGTTTTGGAGCAGACATTGGGAAGGCTTTTCTAGTTCATGTCAGATAGGATGAATGTTGTCTGTCCTCTCTATCATGGAAGAATAACTGTTCACACCTGTTCATTGAGCTAAACTCATCCACCTTTCACTTTCTCTGATATAGGCCACTAACGAGGTTGTGACAAGAGTTCCCAAGTCTACCCCTGAGGAGATGCAGGCTGCGGTGGACGCGGCTAAAGCTGCATTCCCGTCCTGGTCAGAGACAACCATCCTCACACGGCAGCAGGTCATGTTCAAGTTCCAGCAGCTCATCAAGGAAAACATGGTGGGTACCCTCAAATTTGTTTGCTTCTGTTTGTCAATGCAAAATTTACTGCTGTAGATATTGAGAAATGTTAACTGTGGTTTTATTTTTGTTATTTTTATGACCTCTCTGTATAATTTGACTTGTTCTCAAATTCAGTCTGTGATATGAAATACATGTACTCTTTTCTTGTAGTCTGAACTTGCCAAAAACATCACCACTGAACAAGGGAAGACCCTGGTGGACGCAGAGGGAGATGTACTCAGAGGACTGCGTAAGTAGTTTTTTCAAGGCTACAAACCTTCTGGAAAGCTCTTGAATAGAATTAGTGGAATCCTGGATAAAAAAGAAAAATCCAAGATACCGGTATAAGTGTTCTCAGTCACAGCAAAAGTTGTCATAGACATGCTTTGATGGCTCCTTAATTTGTTAGAAACAACAGTCTGCAAGTGAAACTTGCTGATAGGTAATGACTATAGCATCACTCAAGTTTTTCAAAAGTCCCTTATGGTTGCTTACTAACTGCATCAGGTGTTGGTAATGAAGCAACCCAAGGGGTCATGGTCCTGTGGAGTAGACTGTTGTTGTCTTCTTGCTGTGCTGTTGTTGAAAGTTTGTTTTCTGTGTCACCAGAGGTGGTCGAGCACTGTTGCAGCATCACATCGCTACAGCTGGGGGAGACCATGGCGGGCATTGCTAAAGACATGGACACCTCCACATTTCGACTCCCTCTGGGGGTCACAGCTGGAATTACACCGTGAGTTTGTTGTACAGATATGAGTGATGCAGTGAATGATGAAGAGTAACCTGTGATTTTGGAGATACAGTATTAACAATGTGTTGGGAGGAAAATTGATTAAGGAGATGATTCAACCTATTTTTGATGGTTTCCAAGCTTAGTATATTGACAAATTTCACATGTATCCTTCTAGGTATGAATCAGTCCCAGAGTGCCCTAAAACATGTGTGCTGATCATATGAAATGCCATAGAGGACAGGGTATCAATGGAAAGGTATCACCTGTTGAGTAACTGCAGCTTTAATCTGTTTTCTCCAGGTTCAACTTTCCTGCCATGATTCCACTCTGGGTAAGTTTCAGGTCATGTCGTGGCAAAAATATGTTTTGTTATTACATGAGGTCAGGATATGGGTTGTTCTTGCTAGGGTCATTGTTGATACGTATCAGGGTTAGAGTAAGGGTTGTTGTTGATTGTTGTCCTCCCCAGATGTTCCCCATGGCCACAGTGTGTGGGAACACATGTGTAATGAAGCCTTCTGAGCGCGACCCTGGTGCCACCATGATGCTGGTGGAGATGGCAAAGGAGGCGGGACTTCCCGACGGAGTCGTTAACGTTATCCACGGACAGCACGATGGTAAGTACAACCAACAAACCAGTCAAACAATAAATCAATCATAATACAATTTTACATTGTATGTGATTTCAGAAACCTTTTACTGTAAATGTTGAAACTTTTGCTGGGGTTGTCTTTTTGCAGTGACCTCTCCATCACAAGTTCATGACATCACAAATATATCTTCCTTGCATGACTACTGGACTACAGAATTTAAAACACAGTGAAAACTGCCTTTTCCCTGCTACTGTGAAAACAGTATTTATAGTATTAACCCATAATCAGTACTAATTGACCAATCAATTGATTAACCAATAACCTGTTAACGTTGTCCTACAGATAATGTTCCTGTATTGTTTCAGCTGTGAACTTCATCTGTGACAATCCTGACATCAAGGCCATCTCCTTTGTTGGTTCAGACACAGCCGTGAGTTCATTTCCTGTCTCCACTCTTACTGGATACCTCACTGCTTCATTCAAATTGTGACATAAAGAAGCATGTAAGCATGCCCTGTGAATAGTTTCATCAGGTTGGTAAATCACTGGATAACAAATTTCTTTGTACACAAGCAGAAAGTTAATAGCTGCGGTGCAAAGTAGAATAGTCAGTATTGCCCTGAGGAAGGTGACAAGACAGTCACCATACCAGTATATGTCAGTGAGGTATTTACTCTGTTTGCGTACAAAAAAGTTGGTTATCCAGAGAAGCATGCTGTTATAGCTGACTTGTGAACCTGTCTATCTGTAGGGCCAGTACATCTATGAAAGGGGATCCAAGAATGGGAAGAGAGTTCAGTCCAACATGGTGAGTAATCAACTGTACCTGTGAACCTGTGAACCTGTACATTGTGTTTGCCCCATGAAAAGAGCAGAAGGTTAAAGAATACATTTACTTGTAGAAATAAAATGCAAACCACAAAGGTGTGTTTTCTCATTCATAATGACTTTAACATCATACTTTCTAAGCCTTTTGGCAGCAAGTCTGTAAAGGTTACAGAGTTAGGCATCAGGGAAAAGGTTAACATTTGGTACACTGAAGTAGCTATTTTGCTACCGAATCTGTATTGGTTATGGGGTTAGCAGGGAGAAACCTGCATCAAAAGCTTTGTACCTGGATAGAGAAGGAAAGTACTGTAGATTTGTATTGACATTGTTGATGTTTTGTGTGATAGGGAGCGAAGAACCATGGGGTGATCATGCCAGATGCTAATAAGGAGAACACACTGAACCAGGTAGGAATGTCTGGGGACATCATAATTAAACAGCCTCTCTGTGGGGTGCAGGGTTCGTAATAAAGGTCAAAGAACCTCTCTGTACAACCTAGTTATGTTGAAGGAAACATCAGTACAGATGACGTCACAGAGGCTGCGGATTGCTCATTGGAGTTGGACAGTCAAAAAATCCAATTTTCGTGTTTGAAATTACAGTGAAAAATGAATGACCCTGGTTTTCTGACCTGCCCTGCTGTCCTACCATGCGGGGGAGGTTGTATGAGCCAGGGAGAACAAATCCCCACTCCTGTACTGTGACACACATCAGGCTGCTCCTATGCCTGCTGATGTTCAAGTCAGGAGCACATATCACTTACTAATCAGTATAGCCTTCATTATGTCATTACCATCAGCAGTCATGATCTCTGAAGTTGATCTGTAAGTTGCTAGATGGTTCACTTTTTGTCCTAAACATCACAAAATCATTTGTATATGTACAAAATGTACAAAATGTATACAAAGTGTATATGCCTATGGACTAATGAACACAAACTAGAGGTTGTATCAGGCTTAGATGTGACAGATGAATGTGTCAGCACTGGGACAGACATCTAACAAGAAGTAGAGAAATACAAGAAATTTAACATAAAAACATGTCAGTGTCCCAGAAAAAAGATTCATGAGAAGTAAGCTGTGCTGTTTTCTCCCTATATCCTCTGTAGCTTTGTGGAGCTGCATTTGGAGCAGCAGGCCAGCGCTGCATGGCCCTCTCCACAGCTGTGTTTGTGGGCGAGGCCAAAGAGTGGATCCCTGAACTCATCGAGAGGGCAAAGCAGCTCAAAGTCAACGCTGGTGAGGCCTTTGGGTTTTATAATGTGATGTGATATTGTTCTGTCTGGGGTAAAGTGCCTTTTACTAGTAGTGACTCTGGAGGGTGGTTGGTTTGTTGAGAAACAGGTTAACAACAAGTTATGGATTGATGTTCCATAGCCCTTCATCCTGTATTTTTGTAATACCATGTATGTTAAAGGATTCCACTCTATGTTCATGGATTCGTTAGGACTTAAATCTGTATTTCATTATATTTTGAGTGATGTTTACCGCCTCCCTCTTGACCTCAAATGAAAAGTCATCTGCAGACTAAGTTAAGCTTCTTATTGATAAACACAATTTCAAAGAAACAGAAATAGATCATTCCATGTTCCTGGTGTCCAGGTGACCAGCCGGGTGCAGACCTGGGTCCCCTGATCTCGCCCGAGGCGAAGCAGCGTGTGTGTGACCTGGTGCAGAGTGGTGTGGACCAGGGTGCAGAACTCCTGCTGGACGGGCGGGACATCAAGGTCCCCGGGTACGAGAAGGGGAACTTTGTGGGGCCGACCATCCTGCACAAAGTTGACGTGAGTGAGCTTCAGCCTTGTTAGATACAGATTTCTGCAGAAATAGGGCATTAGCTCAAGCTACTTGCATGTATGTAATGACTAGAGACAATTGGACCCATTCAGAAAAAAGCACATGGGGAAATGCAGAGAAAAAGAATGTTGTTTACTGCAACAAATGGTGATTTGTAGTGGTACTCCTGATGCTACTCCTGACATCACATGTCAGAAGTGAATGGTCAGTATGCACAAGGAAATCCGGACAGTTGGTTCAAACTTTGTTGCGTGGACTTTCCTGGAGTTGAAAGACAGTTTCAACTTTGGCTGTCAATGCTTTTCTTGTCTCCTCTCATGTTATTCTGCTTGTAATTGCAACAGTTGCCATCAGATGGAATGGATCTGGACACAGAGAAAAAGTATTTGAAACATGATACCCAAAGAAAGAAACATGATACCTTTGATCATGTAGTTACTCCTGCTACAATAACTTGGTGACAAAGGTTTGCTGATTCTTTCTTGGCTCCTTGTTGACCTCAGCCGAAGATGAAGTGTTACGAGGAGGAGATCTTTGGTCCAGTGCTGGTCAGCATGGAGGTGGACACCCTGGACGACGCCCTGAATGTCATCAACTCCAACCCCTACGGCAACGGCACCGCCATCTTTACAACCAACGGTGCCACGGCACGCAAGTTCACTCAGGCCGTGGACGTGGGACAGGTGTGTCTGCTTGTCTGAAACATTGCTAGTCAGACTATCTACAGCAAATGCAGTGTGATGCATATGATGAAACAATCCTAACTGCTGATTATTAAATAAAAAATCCATTCTCCCTGCCTTTTCGCCCCCCTCAGGTTGGAGTGAATGTGCCCATCCCAGTGCCCCTCCCCATGTTTTCCTTCACCGGCTCTCGTGGATCCTTCAGGGGAGACACCAACTTCTACGGCAAGGCGGTATGTAGCCATGGCAACAACTCTCTTTCAAAGCAACCTCATTGTTTTGTTTACAATGCAGAAGAGTCAGAGCCAGCTTTTGATTTGATATTTCAGATGTAAAATATTTCTTTTGTGTGTTTTATATTTATTTGTGGTACCAGTATTTGTAGTTGAGTAGATTTTGCCCCTACTGTAGTGCATGTTATTTGTATCAGCAGCCATTCCTTCTGTGGTAGAACCCAGACTAACAGGACACTTGTGTGTTGCTGTTCTTGCAGGGAATCCAGTTCTACACGCAGATAAAGACGGTCACGTCTCTGTGGAAGGAGTCGGACGTGTCGCACACCAGGGCCGCTGTCGCCATGCCAGTGCAGAAGTAACCCTCACCTGCCATCGCTGAATCACCTTTTACAAAATAAACAAATACTCTATATGGCTTGAGAATCAAGTGTCATCCATAAAACAGAAGTAATGCTGTATGTGGATTGAAGAAAATTGCTACGTCTATGTCTAAAAGTACATGTACCCTGGTGAAATCATGAAGTTGGAATTACTAACTTGTTCTGTGAGAGATTACTGAGCATATTTTTCTAGCTGTGTCCTATGCAGAAAATAGTGATCAGTTAAAACTATTGAATCAGAATCTTAGAGCTTTACCAAGAAAAGTTTAAAGAGGGTTAAGGGTCAAGATTTGTTTATGGGTGCGAATGGGCAGTGTTATGTGAGTAATGATCAGTCTCTGTAACCATTGCCTGCTACTAATTGCCTGCCCCACTCCAGCTTGCTTTCTAACATACTGAGTAACATGTTTGGGTGTCAATGCTCTGAATGTTATGCTGAAATGTTACTGTCAGTGGTACACAAGCAGGCACCCTCCCTGTAACATTGGAAGATGGCCAGAGACTGACACTGGGAAGTGAATGGATGTACAGCTTGGGGAGTTGTTAAATCAGACACGTGTATTTCTCTTGACTGAGGTATGATTTGTACTGTTTTAATGTAAAAAAATGCACCCCTGTCTAGATGTGTGCTGTTCTATAGGCCATAGGTAAAAATGATCAGCTGCTAATCATGATTCAATCATTACATTCTTCATTTGTTGAAATATAACAAACTTTGATACAACGTTGTTGCCCCACCTTAAGTATTCTTGGCATTTCCATGTTTGTCTAATTTAAAGCTGTCAATATGTACAGAATGGAGCATTGCCATACATTTTTCATTTGTCTGTGGGACTGGAACAGAGGCAAAGCAGTATGGATAGAGGGGCAATGTCACAGAGTACACAACAAAGCCAAGCCACCCCCCACCCTCTGGGTAGACTCTAGTGGGCCCACCATTGTCCTTCCACTACTACATACAGAAAACATGACAAGCAGTCTGTTTCATTTGTATCAAATATTTTGCAGGTAGTTTTATTTTCTCCCAACCACCTCACTTCCTTCCAGAGGAATAATATATTTTACACAGATTCAACAAGCGAATAATGATAATCTAATTTTCTGTTTGGGTACGATTTTATACTATACAAGTAGTGACAGGTCAAGTGGAAATTTTGCATCAAGTTGTTTGGCAATCTTCATCAAACCAACAGATATACTAGTAAGCAAAGGATATGTATGGTAGTACTGGAATACATACATTACTTTTGAAAGCCTTGCTAGTTGCTGGGCACTTTGTAACTGTGAAGCATCAGAAGGATTACCCTGACTTGAGTTGGTTCTACTATATCAAATGGTTATCTTTTTTTTTTTACAAAATTGTGAGTATCTTGTCAATTGCAACAATTAGCCTATCTAGATGAACTTCATGTAACACTTCAGCTTGCTTATAGTCAAACACAACAGATCAGAGTCACAGTCGTGTGGCCTGTAGGCACAATAATGGCTAAATACTATAACAGTTTCCTGTGTCCTAACTGTGGCCAGGACTGCCAAGTGAAGATATGGTGGATTCACGGTGGTGGATTAGCCACACCAGACACTGCACACAGCCACAATGTCAGACTAAGGTGCTACTATCATCTCTCGAGATGAAAGGATGCCTACTACCACTACTGTAACTGTTGTTCAACATTATGTGATACAAACAACAAATGAGATAATGTGTAGTTCTATTATGATGAGGCTACACCAATTTAATTTGTTGGTTCTCGGATTCGCCTCTTCGTTTTTTTCTGATTTGCAAAAAAAAAAAATTTGATTCTGGTCCTGAATCAACTGAAAAATGCTCATGTTTTGCCCCCAACAGTTGAGGAAAGTCCTTTTCTTCCTAGTTGTTACGGTTTTCCCATATATCATTGCAGTGGTTTGATTAAAAGTTCAAAATTCAATGTTTAAATTTTAACCCAGCCTTTTGTGTTGACTTCATGGCTCAGTTCATAGCATTTAAGCCTATAATAGGATGCCTAGACCTGTTTTTATTTTTTTTCGCCCTGTCGCTTCATATTTTTTCTGAAAAAATCCGAGAACCAACAAATTAAATTGGTGTGGCCTGAGCTGCAGATAAAATTAACTGTCTAGCCAGATATCCTACAGTACAGCCCTTTGTAACACTATGCATGCCAGCAGCCCTGTTTTCACAATACTATGTCAGGAAAGCTACGAGGCATCAGTAGCATATCACTTAATACTACCAGTAGGCAGTGCACTGTATCTAACAACTCCAATCAAAACACTGTATGCTCTTACTTTGGAAGGACACCAGGAAAATCAGCACATTAGGAATTACGAGACATTTCAACCTAGCTAGTGTAAAGCACAGTTCCATGTCAATTGAGAAGGCATGCTTCCCTCAATACTGTGGGTCTTTTTGTCTGTCAAATTTTGATTTGAATATTTTCTTTTCCAAATCCCCAGGGAATTTTCAAATTTAAAGCAACCAGTGTTAATTTTGATCTAGTCATGTTGTATTTCGGGTTGGTTTCTGGGTTACAAGACCACAGGAAGAAGACCAGGTGTTAACATGAGGGCCTGTTCCCGGTAGGCAATGACATGTTTCCTGGAACTGGAAGTGATAATGACAGGATGTTTGGATCACTGATTATGATGCCTGGAACTTAACCTGCACACCCCCACAACCTGGATTAAGGGCAGGCTCCACTGGGCCCCATCATGGAGGAAATTCACGAAAAGAGGATGAATTTGCAAGAAAGTTCTCAAATTTCTGGTGACACTGGTAGCTGTTACTGGTGAGAGTTTGGAGGAATGCAGGGAGGGGTCTGCAGCCTCACCAGGTGTCCTTTGAAAGACCCTGGGGCAAAGCAGTTTTGGTGGAGATTAGTGTAATGCCCATAGGCAACCTTCTCACGGTCAAAAGGTTAAATTTGAAATGCAAAACAGAAACATAAAAATGTGGTTTATGTGCATCTTCTGTGCTGTAGGATTAACTGCTAATTTTCATGGCCAGGATCAGTCTGATAGCGGGTTTCCAGAACACCCTGATGACATCAGAACACTGTACAAATTGAACAATTAGTTACATTGCACCCTAAAAATCACATTCAGTAACAATCTGCCTTGCTCTTATAACATGGCAATGGAACCTCAACACTCCACTTACACACCAACACCTAGCCTGGGTGCCAAACCCATAGCACACTGGACACACAGTAGCTCAGTGAGCGTGCTATAGGCCTTTCAACCAGGCTAACCTACACCTCCCTTTGTTGCAATTATTTCCACATTGGTGAAGATTCCATGTTTTGCTATTTGTAATATGCATGGGTGGAATACTGTTGAAATGTACAGTGTGTGACTAGACATAACAAAACAGGGTGATCTGGGGATGAAATGGAGAAAGCTATCTAGCTAATCTCCAATCAGATGGGTGGGTTTCCTAAATTCTACTGATCTTTTTGCAGCATGTTTCCATAATGCTAGTGATGCAAGCTTTACTCAGAGGTTGACAATCAAGGAATCTTTGAACACTTGATAAAAATGGTGTGATGCGGCATGAAGTACTAGTATCTCCCAGAGCAGTACATCTCTGCTTGGAGATTGTACATAACAAGGTTCATAATGTTGGTTTCAGACCCTTGATAACAGATCAAATTATTGAAATATCAAACCATGCACAGTATTGGTCTAAATGAACAAGTCATACAATAGAAATATATATATCGACATATATATAAGTATAGGAATGGTATGACTTTTATCTAGGTATTTTGGAGATATTTCAGAGTAAAATGCACAAGTACCTATCCTGTGTCACACCCTTTGCAAAATACATGTACACGACAACAATTTGATGTTTCAGTCTGAAGTAAAATAGGTGAACTACTCATTCTAGGACAGTCTGATTCCTTATCTATTCATGAGAATATCTTCTTCCACAGAAAACCTGAGCCAAACACTAAATATCCAGAAAGAACTCCAAAAGCTTACTATTCCTTCTAACAATTCTTATCCAGTTGTAGAGATTATTTGTCAGCATCATTTTAACTAACCGTCAATGTTTCCCATTGTGACAGTTGAAACCTTTCTTCATTATTTATTGGCAATAATCTCTTTTAAGAGATGATATTCCACATATAACATCTAAGATTTATCCGCTTGGTGAGAGCAAACGGTGACTTTGGTGTCTGTAACCTCCGAGTTACCTCCAAAATACTTGTTGTAGCTCAACACTTCTGCTTCAATCAGCAATAAAATAATCCTGCTACATATATTTTCATACAGATATGATGAACACATCAAAGTAAAATATGCCTGTGAATAATAGAGATATGATCTATTTAACTTCCTTTCTTAAAATTGTTGATTGCAATTTTACAAATTTCACACTTATCTGTTACACTACCTCATATATATAACAACAGAGGGGGCCCAAGCTACGGCGGAGGGTAGCTGTACAATTGGTAGCCTAGCAATCTAGTAGCAGAAAAATATTTTAAACCTCTGCCCTACAGCCAAACCAATTTATTTCCTTGCTTCTCTGACATTTCAATGTCTAACGGATGAAAACAGAGTGCTGGTTTCACCCCCTAAAACTGTGTGTGCCAAGGTACAGGTCAACTGTTTTCACGCTTATTAGCATGATATTCAGCATTTATGTTTCTTCAGTTAGAGAACCAAGGAATTAATTTGTTGTGGCCTACACTGTGGTTATTTTGATGGCAGGTTGCTTGTCCATCTCGAATCTGCGAACTCGAACGCGCTGCTTGTAGTGGTAGACCTTCAGGTAGTCCTTGAGCGAGTCCGGCAGCCTGAGACTGTTGATGCCATCATAGGTGGTGTACTTACAGATAACAGACCTGCACAGAGCCTGCAGGGGAAAGGTAAAGGGCCGGGGGAGGGGGGTGGTCAGCATCGGTTCAAAGAACATGCAACAGTCCGGGTTCTTGTAGTGTTCGAGGAGCTTGCACACTGTGGGGGCTGCGAAGACCGCCGGGTCATGCACATCAAAGCTAAAGAGGTGGTTCCACTGTTCGATACGTGCATGCAGTGTGCGCCCGTACCTGCGGAAGCTCACAGAGAACAGAAAGTCCTCCTGGGCAGAGTCTCTGAGGAGGAACGTGCCCTCTGCCTTTCCCTCCAAGACTTCCTCAGCCTCGTAGCGGTCCATGACACCCCAATAGTACGGCTGGTTCACAATAGTGACCATGTCTGGGACCAGGCAGTGGATGTAGTCAATCTGCGTGTGAATGCGACGTGGTGTCAGCTTCTGTGCCACCTCAAACCGCCCAAACTGGTTCTGGTAGGTGTGCAGTGCCGGCTTGAACTGCCCGACCACCGCCCGGACAGCCTGGGTCCGTTCCCACGGCACCGTCAGCTTCTGGAGGTTGCGGTTGATGAAATCTGAGATGACTTCGTCGTGGTCGTGGTGTACGATCGTTTTCCAGATCCCATCTGTGATGTCAGGTGGGTTGTACCCGGGAGGGGGGTCGATCCCCTCCTCAATGTCACGCCGTCGCACTTCCCGCATCATCTCCTCCTCGTCATAAACAGGAAATGAATCCCGATCGCCATATCTGTTGGTGTCTGCTGGCTCCTCTTTAGGAGGTTCTTTCCGTGGCTTTGGTGGGAGTTCGGGAAGTTCTTCATATTGGCTCTCCTGGGCAGCCTCTGATGACGAGTCCTTGGTACTGAAGATGACACCAGCTCCCAGTGGATGGTCCTCCGTCCTCGCATATCTGTGGGCAACAGAGAAAGGAAAGACTTAGATCCAAGTTCACCCAAGATGTAATGTAAATTTTATGTACACATGTGAATCAATGTAGCTTGATAGTGTTTCTTATTAGCTGAACCTCATATCGTGGAGATTTTACAATGTTTGGGCAAGGACATTATATAGATAACGTAAACAGTGCATCAGTCAAAAACTTATTCTGGCTTATTCCGACTTGCTGTTACATTTTGTACTTCACTCACTTACACTACTAGTATTTAGACATGTCCCAGTCCCCAGAATAGTTATATGCTAGAAATAAAGTATAGCCTCCACCCGGTCTTCCTGAGGATTCATGGTTGTAGAATTTTTAGAATTTTGCAAAAATTGGGTCAATAATTGCCTGGGCTAGTGAGCCTTCAAGCAAATGAAACCCCGTGGTAGCCAAACTGCTCTGGCAAATTATTCTCCCTATTTTGACTATTTTTCAGCCAATATAAACAGTCAGGTTAGAAACTAGATATAAATGCTTCAAGTTTATCCATGGGAAATTCCCCTTTCTGTCAGGAAGCCATGACACCCTTGTTAGCACAGACCGTCTGATTTACATGAGAAAGAAAACAACCATGATTACTATCCCAATGTGAAGACCATTGTGATGCAGGTGTGACAGTTAACACTCCCTGGGACCCCCTGCTGGTCAGAATGTAAATCATGCCATTATCTCATCAGGAGACGTGACTGATGGCTTCTGTAATCAAATTATGGCTTCTTTTTATGGTTTTCCTGGACGCAGAATGAATAGACAAAGCAAATGTCATTGAAATTACCTCATAATAGATGACTGGCAATGTGTCAAATATCCAAGACTTTTCATATCTCAAAATTCCTTCACTGATATCTGCATGCCTAAAATGTCCTAACAATACATAGAGCCATTTGCTCAAATTAGGATTTGCTTCATAAATTACAGTACTATGTATATAGCAATGAGAATGATGTACAGTACTGTTATATGTCGAAAAGAGAAACCAGAAAAACCTGTGCACGTGACTGCTGAAAACGGGAGGTGAGAAAGCTTCATGGGAGATTTATTGACAGGCATAATTGGACATTTGCTGAATTAAGTAGCAGAAGAAACCTGACATATTGTGTTGACTGGTGTACTGGATTATTGACACCTACACAATTTGTCACAGGATCTCATCCCTACTCTCCAAGCAAAAGTTGGGGGGAATGATCGTTACCTTTATACATATGGCCGTTTATTTTTGTCGCTACCCCCACCAACGGTCGGTGGCCGCGGACCTTCTCTGGCTAATGGATACTGCCTGGCCAATTTGATACTTTTTGCCACCGATAGGGATCTGCTTGGAGATTACTCATCCCTAGGCAGATTTTCCTGGTGCATACTTCTAGGGCTGGCTGTATCACAGATCATCTTGGCCAGTCCCAGTGACCCCCGTCTCCCACACAGAGGCCCTGGCCTGTTTACCCAACGAATGTTCCAAGCTTCATTTCTTGTACATGTATTTACGTTCAACATTTATATGCAATACACAGCAGCACTTGTGGACAGGGAAATCTGTGGGGGTCCGAAGGATAAAATTTGTTGTCACTTCCACATTTGATAGCCGGTGGCTTTATCATTATGGAACAGTTTAAAACCACAAACAAGCACCTAGGATTGACAGGGATCAAGTTTGTGGTACAACCTAGCCTAGCTTTCAGGAGAACTTTGTGCAACACTATGTTGTGTGCTTGGGAGGTTAACATTGGCAGGTGCATTTCACAGAGAAAACTGACTGGCAGTAAAAAAAAAGTGGCATGTAGATATGAAGGTTATACATCTAAACTGTTTTCCTGACACCCTGTTGTGACCTGCTGTAAGACACATTGTGATCAGAAACAGGGACACCCATTTTGCTGTCTCCATTTTCTGTGCCAAATAATTTCATCCAATCATCTTTCCTTTGTGTGCTCCTAATATATTGTAATCTCCAAGCAGATGAGTGCATCAGGGCTATTATTTTGGTGGTCTTTTATCAATTTATGGCCTTTTCGGCATCTCTATTTCTATCTCTAGTCTAGTCCAGCTTCCTTGGGGGCTGGCAAAAATGTGCACTAGTAAAAAGACATACTGAATTTTGTAAAAAAAATATATATATACATTTGAAAACGCTAAAACTCAGCCAGAGGTTACATTTGCTTGATTATCCTAATTGAACCTTCTAACAATTCTTATTCCAATTTCCTGCTCTCTGAGAATTCACTCAGAGAATTGGCAGGCAGTTATTACGAGAGAATAATGAAGCTCCCAGATTTTTTTGTTACGTCCACATTCCACGAAGAAACAGGACACGATTGACTATTGTTACACACATTCCAGGTACTTGTAGTGCTCTCTGAAACCCCGGATTTCGAAGGAAGTACAGGACAATATGGTAGTGTGATTTGGGAACAAAATAGATCACCAAGCTACAAAAACACGTAGCTATCATCTTGTGGTTGATATAAACAAGGTATAACAATACAACCCTTGTAACTTGAACAGAGAACGGTTATAAATGCTAGAATATTTCACTTTCGCTTGTAACATTATTTTGGTGAAATTAAGTACACGGACATGGGAATCATGTACAATGGATGTACGATGTAGTGACCGTATTTCCCTGGCCACCTTTTGGATAATCACTATGTTACCTTGTACAGACGCACCCGGTTCTGTTGGGTTTGTTCTGTCCATCCTCGCAAGGAACCTCGGCTCCTTGGTCAGACTTCCTTCGAAACTTCTCCTTGATAGAAAGCGTCTTCTTCACCGGGCTCGGGCCTGGGTCTGACCCTTTACGTTCCTTGTCTTTCTCCTTGGATTTGGACTTGTCTTTCGCGCCCTTCTTCCGGAATGGCATTGTCTTGGGACGAGCACCCAAGTCCTTCTGTGGTTTGGTTTCCTTCTTGTCCTCCTTGTCCACTGTAGAGATCGGATCGTCCTTTTTTCTGGTATCGGGCGCCTCCTCGCCTTTCTGCGGGCTGGGCTGGTCTGTCTTCCCGCTGTCGTGTGGTGCTTCCTCCTTCTGCACCTGGGTAGTGCTGGGGGCGGATGCCATGGTCGTGTTCCTGGTACTACTGTGTCGATTCCGCTTAAACACGGAGAACTAGGGGGAAACAAAACAGGACTTGAACAAGGGACAACAATGGGTATGGGAGGAGTTCTCACAAACGCAGGAAAAAAGGTCAGGATTTGTAATGGTAAATTCAAGTGCATTCCATACTGCCACCCACCATGACCACACCGCGGCCACCGCACAGCGCAGCTACCCACCGACCCCGCCTCCAGATCGCCCCGGGTTCGGCAGCAAACGACGGACGATCCCTTCAGGAGAAGCCGACGACCTTCCCAAGAAACTTGCCTGCCTTGTGTCACGAGGCAGCCGATGGGAAAGACCCGACAAAACGTTTTCAGTTCCTCATTCTTGTACAGCTGCTTCTGCTTCTCGTGGAGATCGCACTGATGGAGAATATTGGCGACGTCACTTCCGGCCACTCTTGGCCCCAGGATATTTATTGCAGGAACATACATTACCAAATGTCGAAGCTTTGAATCAGATACAAACTCAGGACGTATGGGGTATCTAGTAAGTACATAGATTTCAATACACATTTCCTAACCTAGAAACATTACTGCGCCGAAATTTATGTGGAATGAAAACATGTTTCTTTGTGGTCACGTGACCAACTGTTACTTGCTTGTTCCCAGGGTGAAAGTGAAATGGGTTGTTGCCGTAAGTTATTCAACTTATTGGCAGAGGTGCCAGGCCACACTTCGCTATCGTCTGAGAGAGGAGAAATTAATGGCATCTTCAAGCACATTAGAACTCACGGTCTCACCACATGTGCACACTTGCCCAGATACCAGTAACAGTATTACACGTTAGGGACGCATCCCAGTGAGTCACACCCGGTGAAAATGAAAATGAAAACAAGAATGTTATCAAAGGACGCAACGTTAACCATTGCATCTTACAATTTGCAAAATTTAATTCACATACAAATGAGTATAGTCCTTAGATCAGCATTGTTTGCATTCTTTTATGATACCGGTGTGGAAGAAGTTAACGTTACAACAAACTTCAATTTGTAGAGATTTATCATTCCTTTTCCAATTTAAATCTTACAAATATCAAAGTTGAAAAATGAGTGTGCCGTCGCCATTTCTTGTAATAAATGTTGAAATAGAAAAAATCACAAGGAAGGAAGGGCAGTAGGACTAAATAAGTAGGTAAAAACTTGAAAATTCCAAGTTAGCGTTTAACGTTATACATGATTTCTAAAATCGAAAATAATTATTTTGTAATAACGTTAACGTTACCTACTAACGTTATTACCGTATCCATTTTTTGTTTGAGAAAAAAGACATTTTTTTGTGTTTGTTTGAGCAAAAACGCCTACTTTCAAAAGTAGTGAATAAAACTTCAACCAAGGAGGTTTACAAGCTTGCCAACCCATGCCTTTGGTGTTCCTATTAGTACAGCTATCAGAGTACCAAATTATCAATCCTGCCAAGTTACTAATAATTAATCTCCCATGAAGCAGATTTACCCGTGCCATGACAGTGGGCAAAAACATTAAAAAGCCTTGGCGTTTTAGGGACTGTACGATATTTACCGGGGGGGAGGGCTGGTGCAAAATGGTCCGGTAAAAAATTTTTCCATGGCCCTCCCCCCGGCTCAAAATTTTTTTCAATGGCCCTCCCCCCGGCTCAAAATTTTTTTCAATGGCCCTCCCCCCACCCCAAAAAATTTTTCTGTGGCCCTCCCCCCCCATTTTTCCAGTCCATGTCTCTTTCTCCCTCCGTAAATTCCCGAATGAAGCACGCATCCCGATTAAAGTACGCACCCCCGATTTGGGGCTGGTGGGAGACAAATATTCCCGTCTGAAACGTAAAATGGAAAAACTCGAATTAAGTACGCACCCCTTCTACGCACGGCCGGTACCACAGTGAACATG